GTGTAAATTTGAGGACGATGCGTTAGCTTGGAGCATCATGGTAAGTGTTGCAATGTATTTAAATGAAAGGAACGGCTTAAATCAAGACAATAGCAACCTTTGAATTCATGAAGATAAACTTAGCTCGTTGAAAACTTTTATATTAAAAACAGAACCCCAGTAACTGAAGTAATAAACGTCCTGGGGTGGATGCAACCATCATTTAACAAACTTCATCTTTTGACACGTCTCTTTCTACGAGTAAAGAGCGCCTTTTGGCGCAGTAAAAGTTTTCTAAACGTTTTTTTTTACATAAAAAAACTAAAGCCGTTTTCTTTTCCGACATTGAAGGATTTTAGTGAAAAGAAAACGTTGTTCCCCTGCAGTCTCATTCAATTCCGTTAATAAACCGAGTCACCTTATAGAGAAAGCAATAAACTCAAGTGGTACTAAGCTGAATTTCATTTTGGCTAGACGCAAATGCATTTCTGTAGTAATGAAAATGAAGTGGAACGACTGCTAGTCAATGCCATCTCGGATACAATAACAAAGTCACAAATTATGATATAAAAATATCCAATAGTCCCTCGAGTCGGACTCTGACTATTTTAAAAATTAAGAAAAAAATGCTTCTGACTTTAAAAAAAAATAATTAAATAAAACGGCCAGGTACCTTCAAAATTTTAGGATTACGTGCGAATCCTGCCTTGAACTTTCGTGGCCCCACGTGACCTTGCGAAGCATAAGCTCGTTTATGGGAACCCTCCGAGCAGCAATTATATTGGTTTGCCACGTTGGTTATCACACAGAGGAAAAAATATTTGCAACATTTTTAACACTACTGGATAGGCCTGAAGGTTTAAAAAAAATTAAAACCAGAGCTTGTCTCTGTAAGTTAATGACACGTAACTCTTGTGCTCGGTGCTGGGAATTGAGTCCAGGATATTAAGAAAAAAGCTGTACTCGATCAATTCCTTCGCTCGGTTCCACAAAACAAAACACCTGTATAATTCTGTTCACACCCTTTACACTTGTGGATGAGCTGAAGCTCATACACACTTAACAACTTGCCCTGGAAGTATTGTGACCATGCCCCTGAACATTCATTTTGTTTGAAATTACGGTATTTCGTTTAAGGTGACTCCTTAGTATTGCACTGCGCATCCTATACTGCGCATAAAAATAACGTAATCGGGCGAATAAGCGCGCGTGCATTCCGAGAACGCGGTGTTTCTTTTCAATCAATGGACCAGGTAAAGAGGTGCGATGGTCTTTCACTCTGAAACGAGCACGATGACTTATATTTTTGCCGCATAGTTTTGGTTAACAAATTATCCCCATTAAATAAGAGAAATTTTAGAAAAAATTCATTGAAGCCCGTTACTCAATGAATGAAATTATGACCTTAAAAGTAGCGACTGGGGGAACGCGCGATTTGAGTCAATGTCGTTTAAAATTGCCTGATTTTTTCACTAATCATTCTGTAGAGCTGTAATCGGACAGTTGGCTGTAATCGGCACCTATAATCGGACAGTTGAAGTAGTCAATCATACAAAGTCCACTTAGCCAAATCCACTAATCACAGAATTAAACACAATAACCATTGCAACAGCCACTTATTCTTTAAAAAAATGTGGGGAATTTCCAAAATGGAGAAATTTTTTTACTTTGGGCATTGTTTCTACTGGAGATGTTCGACCTAAATGTAGTTGTTGTTTTCGGAAATTGAAACGGTTGTGATTAATTGGTAAGAGAACTTCTTTTCGTCCAATTCTGTCTGTAATCATACTCTTGATTGACAAATTGGGCTCCCGCTTCGCGATCCTCCAATTTTGTTAATCACTCGTATGATTACAGAGCGAATTGGATTCTACTCAGTTCTATTACCATTATTAATCTTAACCATTACAAATTCCTTAATTGCTATTGGTGCATACGCAGATTCAGTTTTCACGAATCATTCTCTACAGTTGTGATCGGACAGTGCAATCTGACAGTTGGCTGTAATCCGACACCTGTAATCGGAAAGATGAAGCATCCAATTATATTATTTAAATCCAACAATCACATAATTGATCACAATAACCATAGCAACAACAACTTATCCAAAGAAAAACTAGGCAATTTCCAAAATGGATATTTATATACCCGGATGTATGAAGGTGTTTGTTGTGTACGGCATTACGTCGTATTGTTGTGAATCCAACATGGCGTTCGTGTGCTGATTTGTAGCAGTGTTCATCGATTATGAAAATAATTTTTTCAATTAAGAGTTTGGTTTAGATTGCTTTGTCATGGTGCACCACAATTAATTCAGTGAATATTCTTACGAGAGTTAAGATGATGGTAGGCCTCAACTTTTATCTATCTATAGTAAATCTACCTTACATGTTAAAATAAAGAAGAGACCTTCCCCCACCCCCCCCCCCCATTCTCCTTCCTTCCAAAATCACTCTGAGAGTGTCCACTAATAAATGAGTTGGCGAAAAAAATTATAATATCGCTGACAGCTTGACGCAGTGTTAAATCGAGGATTGGGAGTCCTTCTTTTTGAAATTTAGCCAATTTGTGATGTAGAAGTTTAAAACGTGGTGTTGTATTACAAAGACCTGCATTCCATCTTTTCATCCTCCCTGCACTGCAATGAAGTTTTTTTTTTGTTTGTTTTCTTCAGTTTTTTACTTGTTCTTCTTTTTTTCAATCAACCCGTTTAGTACACATATTCTACCTGGTATAGGAGAGCTGATGTAACGTTTGTTGTATATCTACCTTTTTCCTGAGTTTATTGCCCCTAAGGTATAACTATCTATAGGCTCAGGAACAACTATGTCATTGTTTACAATATCTTCAAGACGCCTATAGTCCATGATTGCGTAATGACGTTAACGAAAAACCTTTTAAGCAAAGAAGGCGCGATATTCGTTCCTTCAAATGCATGCATTTTGCTAGTGAAACATTAGATTGCGTCAATTTTTCACATCCAGGCGCCCACTGGAAAATTTCGATTAGATCATCTTGATGGATGATTCTTGATTCCAGGTACATTAACAGCAAGCAATATACCCCTATTGCGCAGCAATAACTTCGATTATTGTTTTAATCTTAGACCACCTATCGGGAAATTGAAACGAAAACTGATGAAACCTTTCTTTCCATCTAAAGTTAATCTATTCCGATAGAAAGCACGCATACATTTGCAAAACAATATTCCTCAGTCAACTGAAAAGTTTGCGAGCAATTTTTAAAACGTGGCATCATGCTACGACTATCTATGAAATAATACTAGAAACTGCTTTTTTTAAATTGATGATTGGATTTAATTGTAAGCAACAAGTTCTTAAGTAGCTGTGGTGCATTTTGAACAAAAGAAAATGAGCTGGGAAAGAGACTGACAGCCTTGCATTCGTGACTTTTGAATGATCTTATTTCACGTAAATTAGTCATATGTTAAGTATATCGCACGAGAGTGTTTTCCAATGAGTCGGAAAGAACTTAATGTTAGCCTGAAATTCCGATTTAAACTTTGGACCATTTTTTGCGTAATTTCATATTTGAAATACATAGCGTTTTCTTGGCAGACACCTTGATGCAGTGATGCACGAGAAGCCCAATTAGCCCTGTGTTAATAAGGCGATACTACTGTAAAACATACAATACTATCGAAGCATACAAAAATATATAGTATATAACGCAGGTTATTCAAGCGCGCGGGGAACAGTAAACATAAACTGGGCGCGCGTTAAATTTAGCAATTGATTATAATAAAATGAATGTTCAGTCAAACAATATTGATTAAGCGTTTTCTCGCGAAAGTGAAAAATCGAAGAAATTTTTTTAAAGAAGGTGAGACTTAAAGTGAACATCAACACTTCCTCTGTTTCAGTCAGTGGGTGTTGATAAATGGGAAAAATTAATGCATGTGAAGTATATTGAAAAATAAAAACAGAGTTGTAGGTCACCTAAGTGCGCTAATGGCTCAAGAAAGCTTACTCAAGAAATAAAACAATCATCTCTCGTGCCATCTAATGTTCCAGATGATATTTAACCTAGAATATATTATCCTCCGAGGATGACAAAATGAGACAAAGCTGAACATTAATTAACCTAATTTTGACTTTCCTCGTTATTACCTATTTAATTTATTTTCACTTCTTCCACTGAAACGTACATAATTCTTGCATAGAAAGCTCATAATAAAAACCCTAATGTATAATTTTCTTCTATCAAAGGACAATTTTCCCTCTTCCTGTAGTTCTTATTTTACCGTTTGACAGGTAATGAACCTGCGGGAAAGATACGTTGACTTCTTTTATCTTCTCTTTACGGGTGGTGTTTAAGTGTGATGAAAACAAAAATAGATTGCTTTTTGACGTGAAGTTTTGAAAGACAGGTTTCCAAATGTTGATGAAGCGTTTTCCTCGCGAGAGAGCCGAAAGAAAAATTATGATCGACGTTAAAGTGATAGTTTGTGGTGTCCAACATCTCTTAACTTACACAAAACAAATGCAATATGAGATGTTCAAATGTATGCTAAGCACAGCGAAACACAAAAGGAAGAACTCTCACCGAAGTTGGACCACAGCCAATAGAATATATCATTAAGTCGCGTTTATTGCTGAAAAGCGCCCATGGCAGCCACAATGACCGTCAAATTAAGCAGACAAGTTCATTTAATTTGAATAATTGGCATAATGAATTAGATAAACTAGTATTTGCTAGTGAAACTAGTAGTTTCATCCACATGAGGAAAGAACCAGAGCATTCTTACCTGCTTCTTACTATTATACGTAAACTATTTTAACTTTCTTCGCACTTATGCCAATAAATTAAGAAGTTTTGATGTTCTTATCCAACTTTATTCAACCAAAAAAAATTATATAATTTGTTGGATTTGGTGTTTGCCTAAGGAACAACGTCAAAAACAGCGCAATTAGCTTAATTAAGCGACGCTTGTTTACCCAAACCCGTTTGAAATACACCTTTTATATCAGGTTTTAAAGACCAGCTGGTCGATACTCAAGACCTACTTCATATCTGATAACCAGAAAAGGCGCGTAGCAAAAGAAATAAGCAGTTCTTCTGGGGAGAAGACATTTGTTACTGGTAAGGCTGTTTTTGCTAGTAGTTTGAAGTAAAACCTTTTGGCTTAGACGGAATGTAAATTCTTGTTATTTAAAGCGGTAGCTTTAAATGTTTGTCAAATTTTAATCACACTCTATTTAATTTATCTTAGTTATGTCTAATGTTTTGAAAAAGGGTTAGGCTCTGGGTGACTGTATATGTATATTGATACACTTACGTCGACAAGGTTGCTCTCGAAAATTCCCTGGATATTGAGAACGACAATTCTTTTGTTTTGTTTTTTTTGGGAATTTTTTGTTTTCTTCTTGAAGTGCCCTTCAGGAAGGGTTAGTATCGTTTAGAGGGACCTTACGTTGTGAGAACTGCAACGCTGAGAAAGACGTGGTTTGATCGTAGAATTAATTTTTAGCGAATGGCTGGATTCGTCAACTGTCTCTCAAGGTCGCAAATCTCAAATTCGGCATATTGTATGGGAGCATCGTTCACTTTGAAATGGAAATTAAATTAATTTACTATCGGTGTTTTAGTTCTCAGATCAGGCAACGTCTTTTCACTCTGTTGTATTTCAAAGGAATGAGAAATGTACAAAGCTAAAAACGTACGTGCTGAGATATTGTTCTGCGAAGTAGATCTTTTGTTTGGCCACGTTCTCCCTGGTGTCACCGTTGCGGTTTCCTGAAGGTCGTTTATTAATCTTAACTAGGCAGAATATTGTTTTATTTGGCTTTAAAAAACTCTTGGCGCTCCCTAAATATGTTCTTCGCCAACAATAAATAAATCCTTAAATAATCTTGTTTCCTCCTTCCACTAAGTGTCAGCGACCTGGCAAAATTTTCCATCAGCCGAATCTTCTGATACTTTTATCGCCCGCAAGTGTCATCAAGCTGCTGAGTGGAGCAAGATGGCCCTTACCCTGCTACTGTTGATAATTGTAAGTTCAAAATTCTTAGATGCAAGTTCTCAAGATGGCAAAGCCAAAGGAGAAGTGTCGATCTTGGGTATGACGCTCCAAGGACATATCTTCAAAAAGGTCACAAAAGCGGCTCTCGGTGATATGTGTTTACGGGAATGTTACCAAGACATCAGATGCCAGAGTTTTAACTACGTCTTTACCGAAGACATTTGCGAGTTGAGCAACCGTACTAAGGAAGCCAGACCAGAGGATTTTGTACCAAACTCTGAACGATACTATTTTAAAAAAGACATGAAGAGAGGTGAGACCTTAATGCTAAAAGTGGAAAAGAGGAAATGAAGAGTTAAGAATGTATGGAGTGATAAGTGATATAAGTAAACAAGAAACAATCCGTTGTTTTTCAGTGCCTCTCGGATCCGTTCCAGAACTTCCGGCTGAAACGTGTAAAGAGATTAAGACAAGTGAAGGAGGACAAGCGGTCAGTGCGAGATACTGGATTTCCTCCATCATACCTGAAAAGATTGTATTCGCTTACTGCGGCATGAAAACAGAAGGTACCTCAATTCACCATGAAAATTGATGTTTAGGATTTTTTTCCTGTATCCTCCCTAGACGTAGACAATCATTACTGGCCCTTAAATTATTTCGGTTTTAAAAGTGAAACGTGATTAAGTTAAAAATATTTACATAATCAATTGCTTGTCGTACAGCATTTGCCTCTTTTGTCATCAATACTTCTGCCGTATTGCCGTCAAGGCCTTTGTGCACTGAGGTGTGGAGTTTGAATTGTGCTGTTCCAACAAATTTGGACATCCTTCCACGAAACGTGTTTTGATATAACAAAGGACGGCCAGCGTTGAAAAATATCAGCACCGATATTTAACAGGTCTCATGTCCCTTCTCCCTTTTAATCTTATCTGCAAAGATTATTTGGTGTCAAAGTTTTCAGGCGTGTTTCCTTTTAGATTTATAAGCAGTAGAAATCATCAATCGGAGCTCCACTACTGACTACTTGATTTCTTTGCAGATGTCGACGAATGCAGCTCTTCCATCCCCGTCTGTGATCCAAATGCCAATTGTCAGAATACTGAAGGCTCATTTCGTTGTCAGTGTATGCCTGGATTCTCTGGTGACAGGAAATCTTGCACCGGTAAGGTTTTTTAAGGTAGACTTGGTGGTTGCATGGTGAACGCAGAGGTTTGGGCCCTAGATAAGTAAGTGTGTTATGATTTTAAAGTAGATTTTTTCCATTTTTCTCCTCATTTCCCAGTTTTCATTTTTTGATCACTAAGCTATGAGAAATAGATATGATACGTTTTTAGCAAATGACTTATACATACATACATACATGCATACACCCATACATACATGCATACATACATATATATGTGTGTATATTGTAAGTGACCATGGTTGAGTAAGGGGAATCATGAATGAGCTTAAATCTCCCCCGTAAAATTGAAGTGACAATGAGTGTGATAACATTGAAGTATCTGAACTTCGTTGTTGTGTCGCTTCTTCAGGCAGTGTATTATTATCAAAATCCAAATGTAATGCCCTGGATGATATCAGTCGGCTGCCAAAGGTTTTGATGCAGTAACAGAAAGTTTAAAAGCTTGAATCAAGGTTTTGCGGGAAAACCCCGATTACTCCGGTAACAATACAAAGGCAGACGGCAAAACCAGTGACCCATGACGTTAGTCGCCATAACCGACAGCTGTCCTTCACAGGAGTACACTCACCCGGACGATTTGACTACATTGTCACATGTTACCCCGGATTCAAACTATTTATTGTGGTCGAATTACAAAGCATTGATTGATGGACTGATGGACTGAATGATTGTTTGCTGTATGGTTTGAGGGTATAATTGATCGACTCTTTGATTCATCGGCTATGTGATCAGACTTTTGTTTGACCGACCGATCGATTGATTGAGTGGTCCAATCATTTAATTATTTCATGGTGTTTTTCCTAGTATCTGGACAGTCGTTTGTGACAGTTACAAGTTCTTGCGCAAGCCTTTTGACCATAGAAACAAGAACAGCGGGTCTAATATACTCAAATTATAATGGAACTTACTTGGACCACATGAATTGCAACTGGACTATTTCTTCAAATGCAAAACTGGAACTTGCATTCATAAGATTCCAAACTGAGTCTGGTTATGACTTTGTTAAGGTGTACGATGGCCCAACATCTTCCTCCACACTGATTGGCGAGTATGATGGAGACTCTTTGCCTAGAAACATTACAAGCTCTTCTCATGAGCTCTTTATTACTTTCACAACTGACGGTTCAGTTATAAAACCAGGGTTCCTAGCGCACTATCATAGTAAGTATCAACTCGTTTCGATAAAAGGTAGCTCTTGGCCGGGAATCGGCTTTCCAAAATTTGTTAAGGCTGTTCGGAACGTCCGAAATTCAGGACCATGCTTTATGTTTTCATCTTGAACTCGGCCTTACGGCACTCATCCGAACCAAATAAGTTCTTGCACTAACTGAGATAATACGGATGAATAATCCATCATTTACCATACTATTATTTCTTACACCCTCCTCCATCCTTGTCTCTATAATTTCCATCTCCTTGCATTTATTGTAATGGTATTACAAGTGCGGCTGATCAGGAGTCGTCTACAACTAATGTATGCAAAGTCGAGCGTACTACGTTGTTTTCAACATGTCGCTTTCTCGATATTGTTCTCGTAAGCGGCTAAAAAGGAATTCTAAAAAATCGTTTTCGCATTCTGTTCTTTTGGTTCAACATTTTTTGATAATGTGGTATTTATTTCTATTGTTTTCATTTCTTAACGTTATTTTATCGTCTCTTTCAGTATCTGGTCAGCCATTTGCGACTGTTTCGAGTTCATGTGCGGACAAGTTGACAGTTCGATCAAGTTCAAGTGGAATAATATTTTCAAACAGAGATGGTGCCTACGCTCATGATGTGAACTGCAGTTGGAGTATATTTTCTAGTACTAATGTGGAACTAGCATTTTTCAGATTCGATACTGAAGAAAATCACGACTATATCTACGTGTACGATGGCGGATCTATGATGTCCTCTTTAATAGGCAAATACCACGGAAACTCCTTGCCAGCGGTCATCACAAGCTCATCCAATCAGCTTTATGTTACCTTTAGCAGTGACACCAAAGTTTCAAGTACTGGGTTTGCGGCAAGTTATCATGGTAAGACATCTTTGCAAAACTTTTCAGAATTCGTGTACTCTTGTAATTACTGCAAAAATAAGTGAAATGAAAGAATGATTCAGAATAATTAGCATATACTAAAACGGTGGATAGCTTTGAAGGCGCGCTCTGATTGGCTACTCAGACTCCAAATATCCCCTTCTATTCACCTCCGAACAACTCGAGCGGGATTCGCGCCCGAAAATATTGTAATCGTTGCAGGAAGAAATGAATTAAAATCACCTTTTTTGTTATATCATATTAACGTTTTATTATATATTAAAACATTTTTTCACCTCAATGTCGGTGAGTGGGTATTTAACTTGCCGCTTCGAGGCTTGGTAAATTTCCATAACAAGCCACCTCCGATTTGGCGAACAGATGTTTACTGTCCTTCAATCCTACATTTCCACTCGACTTGGTTAGCCTGATAACTAGGTGGCTTTTAAACCATAAGCAGATCACATCAGAGATATAAATATTTACAGGTTTCACAAAATCAAAGGTTCTAATGCCGAATAACTGGGGCTTCGCCTCCTTCAATAAAACTCAGAAATAAACAACCAAGGTAGTTACTTTAACAAAAGCGTCGATGTAAATATATGACTATAGTTCAAGAGAGAAAACCAAATTTAACCACAGAAAAATTGGTTTGAGGTATGCGCTCTAGAAACAGTGAACAAATAAAGAATGGGTAGAGACATAAATTCTTACAGTAAGTAATGAGTGACTTAGCCATGCGGCAAAGGAAGAACACGAGTGAAATAACTGAGGTATGAATGAAAAAGTGAACAGCGAACCATGACAATGATATATTTTTGTATACTGAAACTGGATAGAGTTGAAGGTGAATTCTTATGGCTACTCAAACTCTGAACATCTTTTGCTTTTCACCGACTAACGCGCGCGGGATTTGCGCCCGAATACTTTGCAATCGTTATAAGTGAGTTAAAATCATCATTTTGTGCCATATCATCGTACTGTGATGGTATTTACAAAGCCAACTAAATATTCACCACTAGCCACCTCCACTTCAGTAAATGGTTATTGATCATGGTGCACCTGTGAAATCAATGTTCCTTAAGATAATCTGACTTATGATAGTGGAGAGAATAACGGCAAAAGCCTATTAATAATAGTGTTTTTGAATTTTTTTTCATACAGCTTATAACACAATTCGCCTTGTTGGAGGAAACACGACACTGACTGGGAGGGTAGAAGTTTACCATGGCGGCCAATGGGGAACAATCTGTGAAGACGGCTGGGACATCAACGACGCTCAAGTGATTTGTAGACAGCTTGGCTTTCCTTCAGCCACTCAAGCCTTTCATAGCGCCAAGCATGGTCAAGGGTCTGGTCAGATATGGATTGATAGTCTGGACTGCTCAGGATATGAGTTACGCATCGACGAGTGCAACCATGATGGATGGGGAAATCATGATTGTGGACACAACGAAGACGCCAGTGTAGAATGCTCCTCCACAATCCCTTGATCGGGTTAACGTTATGGCAATCACCTGTTTAAATCACTCACCCCCGAAAGTAACGAATGGAAGGACAGGGGAGCGGAGTTTTCCAAAATTCATGAATTTACAGTCTTAGCACTTTCCATAAATAGCTATGGAAATACCTTCTAAAGAGTCCTATTTACTCAAAAATATTCTTGGCACTTCTCCGTAAATTCAACTATTATTGTTGAGGCGTACCAATTGACGGAGGTTATTACAATATTTTTTTTTGAAATGGGAAATGAAGATTGTGATCACTCCGAAGACGCAAGTCTAGAAAGTTCCTCAATAATTCATTGATCAATTGAATTTTAAAAAAAAAATGGGGAGGGTGTTTTACTCAATTGTGGGGCCCTGAGTTCCATTGCATTTAAAATACCACTTTCATAAAAGGGCTCCATTCAGGTATCTCTTGTAATTAAACTCCATGCGGGATATTCAGTTATCTCTTGGACGTCTTGAAATTATAATTATTATTACTATTGTTATTATCATTTCTATCGTTTTGTTCTGTCATGTATTATCGATAGTTACGCCTTAAATCTCCTTTTGAGAACTCTCTGAGAAATCCTGACAAATCCCTGGTCAATACCGTGGGGAAAAGCACTCAAATTATGTTAACCACACCTTTTGCTGTTCATTTACGCAAAATGTACTTTCATTTACGTCAACAGTTGAAACTATACGGCAAATATACATTCATTAGCACTTCCACTTGGACAATCAAACATAACAAATAGACTTTCAACCTCGCGCAATGGTTGATCATTAACACTAATAGAAAATCAAGTGCATAGTATGACAATCAATTGCGTATTAGAGACATACAATAATACAATTTGCATAGAGACGCACAATCAGTTGCACCTTCATACAATCGTTTATTCAAAATGGTAAATCGTTAACGCGAACTGACAAACATTGGTGTTTTTAGAATAACCAATAGGAAGAAAAAATATTCATCAGTGTCATTCAGCGTAGTTGCGTGTATTTAAATTACTGAACAAAAATAAAAGAGTATGTACATTATCATGTCGATTTTGTGTTTTTTTTTTGCACAATATTTTGCTGAAGCAGATATAAAATGAAGAACATTTTACATGTACAGTACACTGTAAGAAACAGAGTACGCTGTATGAACAAGGAGACGCATTGGAGACAGAAATAACCGAAGAAAATCATGCCACCAAGAAACAGAATCCTACTTGAACAGCGACAAAGAATTATTCAAGCCTTCGAAGATGTTAATGAAGATTACTTGACGGTTGCCGTTACTATCGAGTAGATGATGAATGAGGAATTACCCGAATGACATTTTAAACGAAAATTGTCTACCAACACTAGCAGAGATAAATCAAGAATTGAGACACCGTCTTCCAAGAAAACCAACAATCCATGACCGTACAGTAGCAAGAACACTTGAAGGTATGTTATATCGTGTGAAATTGGCAAGGCCACTCCCAGTTGAACGAAACCACCCTGATGTCCTACAGAAAAGAGTCGAATATGCCAGCTGGTTCATGCGCCATGCTGTAGTGAATCATAGTATTTTCGTAGACGAGTGTGGGTACAATATTTGGACGGCAAGAAGTCACGGACGAGCAAGGATGGGAGAGAGGGCATATCGACAAGTATGTGGTCAGCGAGGGAGAAATGTTACTGTAGCACTGGCAATTTCACCCACCAATGGAATAGTTTTTCACTCGGCATTTCTCGGTGGAATGAATGGACAAAGATTTAATGATTTTCTGTCACAGACAAGGCTAAATCTCGACCCAAATGAACATGTGATTTTCATTTATAACGGTGCACCAGCCCACAACAATCCTGCCATTCCTGGTCCTAATTCTGAGCTTAAAAAGCTACCACCATACAGCCCGTTTCTTAACATTGTAGAGCAAGCAATAAGTGCCTTAAAAGCAGCCATAAAAGCGGAAATAAGCCGTCCAGAGCAGCAAGAACAGATGAACAACAGAGCAGAGGCAAGACGACAAGGAATCGCGTTAGGCAACTTCCTCACTCAATTGCTACTTCAGGCCCTGCAGAGAAACATAGGCACCATCACGGCTGCTAAATGTGGACAGTGGTACAGATTTATGCAAACGTACATTCCAAGATGTTTAAATAATGAAGAAATTGACGGATAATTACAAAACATTACATTACAGTACACTGTAATCGAACAATTTTGAAATTTCTTTTTCCCTAGTTGATTGTTATTACTACACACATGTTTGTCAGTTGACGTTAATGATTGACCATATCGAATAAACGATTGTATGAAGGTGCAATTGAATGTACGTCTCTATGCAAATTGTATTATTGTATGTCTCTAATACGCAGTTGATTGTCATAATATGCAATTGATTTTCTATTGGTGTTAATGACCAACCATTAGGCGAGATGGAAAGTATATTTGTTCTGTTTGATTGTTCAAAGGTGCAATTGTTTATCCGTTGATGCTATTGAATGCTAATACATATGGAAATAGCGTTATTGAAAGTTCGTTCGCGTTCATGAATTTCATGTAAGTGCTAATGAATGTATATTTGCCGTATAGTTTCAACTGTTGACGTTAATGAATGTACATTTTGCGTAAATGAACAGCAAAAGGTGTACTGCTACATTAGGCCCTGCAGAGAAACATAGGCACCATCACGGCTGCTAAATGTGAACAGTGGTACAGATTTATGCAAACGCGCATTCCAAGATGTTTAAATAATGAAGAAATTGAAGGATAATTACAAAAAATTACAGTACACTGTTTTGAAATTTCTTTTTCCCTAGCTGATTGTTATTATTACATGTTTAATGATTGACCATTTTGAACAAACGATTGTATGAAGGTGCAATTGATTGTGCGTCTCTATGCAAATTGTATTATTGTATGTCTCTAACACGGAATTGATTGTCGTACGATGCAATTGATTTTCTATTGGTTTTCATGATCAACCATTGCGCGAGATTGAAAGTATATTTGTTATGTTTGATTGTCCAAGGGTGCAATTGTTCATCCGTTGATGCTATTGAATGGTAATACATATGCAAATAGCATTATTGAAAGTTCTTTCACGGTAATGAAGTTCACGGAAGTGCTAATGAAGGTATATTTACCGTATAGTTTCAACTGTTGACGTAAATGAATGTACATTTTGCGTAAATGAACAGCAAAAGGTGTATTTTGCTCTTCAATAAAATGTTAAAGTTTCAATTTCAGAGACATAATCGCCACTACGGGGTTTAACTCATTTGCTGGTGCTTTTTTCAAGTTTAACACCTGCTAATCTGCACATTTCTAAACAATAAAAGCATTGATCTGTAGACATGTATAAAAAAGATCGAAAGGCTCCTAGAGAGTATGCAAAGCCGCTTTGAAAAAGGTTTAAAAATACTTACAGCTCAAACTGGGTGTAAAATTCACATTTCAGAGGCAACTATGTCTCATCGAACACCGAATTAAAAGTTATAGGGTGTTTGAATTAAAAAAATCGACGTCAATCAAAACAGTAACAACCTGTGGTAATATGATGATCATTCTAGGACATAACAGATATATAAATTACAGTGAAAAAAGAACCTCAGGAGGTACGTCCTAAGGATAAGCTAATAAACGTCCTTGGGTGGATATAAACCTCATATGACAAACTTCATCTGTTGGTGCGTCTCCCTCTACGAATTTTCAATCTTATTAGCGCAGTCTGAGACTGCTGAGAAATTTCAAAAAGAAAACTAAAGCAAAAGCATTCCCGTTCATTTTAGAGATGTAAGCATATCAGGGAGGGAAAAACATTTCCAAAGGTAAGACAGCACTTGTTCTCTCGCATATTGAAGGTGATGGTGTACATTTAATTTCATGCGAGCTGCCTTACACTTAAGTAAGATGATGAAGGTATTGGAAAAGATGAGCATGCCACGCCGAGTGGAAGCTTCGAGATAATTTTTCTACCTCATTAAATCCTCTCTCCTTTAAGGAACTTTGGTTTGAACCTTCCGATCGACCTTTATTCCAACTGTTGCCGGTATTTGTTGTTATTCACAACGAAACGAAAGGGCGATGAAAACAGGTTTACATGATTCGCCCAATCAAAAAGCAAAACGGCAAAAATAGCGTCATGTAACCGAGACATACTTCAAAACCGTTGTCAAAAAGTGAATTAGTTTGGAGTTGAAAAGCTATCCAAACTATTCGGCAAAATGTTCTTTCGAAATATGGGAATAACGAAAGATAAAAAGACACTAATCGATTAATGGAATTCCAAGCCGAAGTAATTTACAATGGCTATGCATGTAATATAAAAAATTACACCAACAGTTAAATTAAAAGAGTAAAAATTAGGAAACTTCGTCTATCGGCTAAAACTCGAACAACCTCTGATTTTAACATTGAATCATCCCCACATACATAATACAACTATACCCCGAGAGGGATCATAAATAACTAAATTCTTCAAAACACCGGAAAAAGAATATGCATTATTTACTGATAGGGAGCTCTATCATTCCTTGTATTCTGGCGTACAGTTAATTTTAAGGTTGTTATGAACACTAAATTCTCACGGGAAATCGAGTGAATGATGCAGACACTTATCAGGAAAGCACGTCTTTACAAGTGCGCAGAAACACCCATAATTAAAGCAGGATGAGATATTTTCTGTCCAGCCACTTATAATGTTGTACCTTTCGAGCTCGTATGTTCTGTAGCTGGTAAGCCAGCTGCAGTTTCTGACAAATAATCAAGTCAACTTGCACATTGTTTAAGTTCCTGAAAAAACTGCCGTGGGTGGTTATTGGTACTAAATTCGCGACCACGAATTCGTTTGAGAGAGCTGCCATTTAGTTAGTAAAGAATTAAACGCGTCTTTTCTTTCTGCATATGCATTTCTGCATATGCAATGTTTCAATCATTTTTGTTACAGTTGTAGCGGGAAATATGGATCAGCAACACAACGTCAAAAGCATTTTATCTGTCACCGTTGTGTTTGATTTTGTACAAGACAACCGCTCAGCAGTGTGACAGCGACATCTCAATATTTACACGGATACACGGATGCCTACCACATGCCCACCTACGAACAGGTGCGACGCATGCTCTACTGGTTGGCTAAACGGAGTCCACCCTACTACAGCTGACGAAAACGTTACACGACAGGTGTGCTTCAACTGGAGTTCAAACTGTTGTCTCTGGAACATCCACATTGAAGTGAGAAACTGTGGCTTTTATTTTGTTTATAATCTTCCGCTATCACCAGTGTGCACTCTGCGATATTGCAGCACTGATTAGCTAACTGCATCAATTCGGTTACACGACAACGTTAAGAGTTCGAATAACCGAACAGCGAACAAAGAAATTACTACAACAATTGTAACAAGTAAAAAACCAAAACAACGTTTATGAGATAATTATGTTTCTTCATGGTCGTATGCACTAGTTGATGTGCCAGTGCTCTTATTTCAACATAAGTTTCACGTTTACGACAAACGAAAATGTCCGAGGTTTTGCCAAATTTTCAAATACCAGGTTTAGCAGAGGTACTTCTTTCTAGCTTTCACGGAAGACTGTATTAAAATACCCCTTGTTAACAAGGGATAAAATGCTATGCTGATTACGGGACGTTGATCATTCTGTGTAGTCAATATTATGAAACTCTCAGCTTCAATTATTGCATTCCACTCAATTCCAGTTTAAAGGCCATACAACGAATCACCGCTTATTTAGAAAATAATCTGGTCAAGTGTTATTATTAAAGATGAATTTCTTTTTGACTGAAAGTGAACGCCTTTCCTGTGTAAACAGAATCTAATCTCAAAACTTGGGAGGTTGGTAGAATATCGACTCTTGCTTGCTTTTAGATTCTAATCTCAAGGTTTCGTTCATTTTGTAACGCTTCTGTCAATTACAGCACCTGTTCATCTGCACCTTTCTAAACAATAAAAGTACTTATCTGTCAAAAAGGAGATTTAAAAGGTTTTAGAGGGTCAGGGAAGGTTCGGAGAAGGTTCAATTTAAACTGTTCTAGGTATCCAGATTCCCAATTTAAAAACTACCCTGTAAATGTAAGGACGATGCGTTGGCTTGGAGCATCATGGTAAATGTTGCATTATATTTAAATGAGAGGAACCGGCTTAAATCAAGGCAATAGCAACCTTTGACTTCATGAAGATAAATTTAGCACGTGGAAAACTTTTATATTAAAAACAGAACCCCAGTAAGTGAAGGTAATAAACGTCCTGAGGTGGATACAACCATCATTTAACAAACTTCATCTTTTGACACGTCTCTTTCTACAAGTTAAGAGCGCCTTTTGGCACAATAAAAGTCTGCTGAACGTTTTTCTTTTACATAAAAAAACTAACTTCTTTTTCGAGATTGAAGGATTTTAGTGAAAAGAAAACGTTATTCCCCTGCAGTCTCTTCCAATTCCGTGAATACGCCGAGTCACCTTATAGAGAAAGCAATCAACTCAAGTGGCTCTAAGCTGAATTTCATTTTGGCTAGACGCAAATGCATCCCTGCAGTAATGAAAATGAAGTGGAACAACTGCTAGTCAATGCCATCTCGGATACAATAACAAAGTCACAAATTAAAATAGCCAATAGTCCTTCGAGTCAGACTCTGACCATTTTAAAAATTAAGGAAAAAATGCTTCTAACTTTAAAAAAATATATATTTAAAAAAACGGCCAGGTACCTTCAAAATTTCAGGATTACGTGCGAATCCTCCTTTGAACCTTTGTGGCCGCGCGTGACCTTGCTAACCATAAGCTCGTTTATGAGATCCCTCCGAGCAGCAATAATATCGGTTTCCCACGTTGGTTATCACACAAAGAAAAAAAACATGTGCAATATTTTTAAAACTACTGGATAGGCTTAAAGGTTTAAAAAAATTAAAACCAGAACTTGTCTCTGTAAGTTAATAACACATAACTCTTGTGCTCGGTGCTGGGAATTGAGTTCAGGATATTAAAAAAAAAGCTGTACTCGATCAATTCCTTCGCTCGGTTCCACAAAACAAAACACCTGTATAATCTGTTCACACCCTTTACACTTGTGGATGAGCTGGAGCTCATACACACTTAAAAGCTTACCCTGGAAGTATTGTGCCCATGCCCCTAAAATTTCATTTTATTTGAAATTACGGTATTTCGTTTAAGGTGATTACTCAGTGTTGCACTGCATTATGTGCAGTACAGGATACACATAAAAATAACGTAATCGGACGAATAAGTGCGAGTGCATTCCGAGAACGCGGTGTTGCTTTTCAATCAATGGACCAGGTAAAGAGGTGTGATGGTCTTTCACTCTGAAACGAGCACGATGACCATTATTTTTATTGCATAATTTTGGTTAACAAATTATTCCCATTAAATTGGAGAAATTTAGAAAACATTCAACCACTTATCCAGAGAAAAACTAGGCAATTTCCAAAACGGATCTTTATATACCCGGATGTAAGAAGGCGTTTGTTGTGTAGGGCATGACGCCGTGTTGTTGTGAATCCAACATGGCGTTCGTGTGCTGATATGTAGCAGTGTTCATCAATTATGAAAATACTTTTTTCAATTAAGAGTTTGGCTTAGAATGCTGTGTCATGTTGTACCACAATTATTTCAGTGAATCTTATTACGAGTAGTTAAGATGATGGTAGGCCTCTAACTTTTATCAGTCTATAGTAAATCTATCTTACATGTTGAATTCTCCAAAATCACTCTGAGATTGTCCACTAATAAATCAGTTAGCGAGAAAAAATAATTATATCGCTGATAGCCTGACGCAGTGATAAATCGAGGATTCCTTTTGAAATTTAGCCAATTTGTGATTTAGACGTTTAAAACGTGATGTTGTATTACAAAAGTATGCAGTCCATCTTTTCATCCTTCTTACACTGCAATGAAGTATTTTTCTTTTTGGTTTGTTTTCCTCATTTTTATACTTGTTCTTCTTTTTTTCAATCAACCCGTTTAGTAGACTTATTTTACCCGGTGTTTGTTTTAGTCAATAAGGAACACGAGAAATGATGTAGTGTCTGTTTTATATCTACCTTATTCCTGAGTTAATCGCTCCTAAGGTATAGCTATCTATAAACTCAGGAACGATTATGTCATTGTTTACAATATCTTCAAAACACCCATAGTCCATGATTGCGTAATGGCGTTAATGAGAAGCTTTTGAGCTAAGAAGGCGCGATATTTTTCCTTCCAATGCATGCATTTTGTTAGTGAAACATTAGAATGCGTCAATTTTTCACATCCACGCGCCCACTGGAAAATTTCGATTAAATCATCTTGATGAATGATTCTTGATTCCAGGTTCTCAAACGGTACATTAACAGCAAGCAATATATCCCTATTGCGCGGCAATAACTTCGGTTATTGTTTTAATCTTAGACCATCTATCGTGGTATTGAAACGAAGACTGATGAAACCTTTCTTTCCATCTAAAGTTAATCTATTCCCGATAGAAAGCACGCATACATTTTCAAACAATATTCCTCGGTCAATTGAAAAGTTTGCGGGGAAGTTTTAAAACGTGGCATCATGCTACGACGATTTATGAAATAAAACTAAATTTTTTTTTGTCGTTTTCCCATTTTCGTTTCCTTTTCTTTTTTATACCTTTGACAACAGTTCTTACTACATTTAATTCATTTCCACGAGAAACTGTAAAACAATCATGATCGTAATAATACTTTGCAAAGACTTCTTTTGTACTCACGTTTTCACCGACACAAACTTTCTGTGAAAGCAATTTGACGAGACAAAGAATGATTTATGTAAATAAGAATGATTTATGTAAATAAATTTATGTTGTTTGGTCTTATGTCAAAGGAAGCTTAAGTCTACATTTTCGACCATTTTCGAGTAGGTTGTAACATAGCATTCCTTTGGTTTAAGAAGAGGCACTATTCGAAAAACATAGCGATAGGCCGGATAAAAAAATCAAATAAGTCAATAAAAATAAATGATTATCGAGCTGGAATGGCGGCAAATTTTTCTTCTTCTTTATAGTAGGTCTGGCGTCAGTTAATTACTGCTACCAACATGTAACCAGGCCTCATGAGGAATTTATCCAAAGTCAAACAAGAGTTAAATTTAACGATTACCGCACCTCGGATTGAACACCAGAAAAACATAATCAATATTGTTGTGAAAGTTCTAGGTACTAAGGGCTTTATGTCCCTACCTTTCAAAATGAAATTATCGTCAGAAATTTTTCACATTTCGGTTATTAAAAAGTCACCTGTTTATAATCATGCATGATGCAGCTCGTTATCTTTATATCAAGAGAGAGGAGAATCTGTATCAGGGGGTAATTGTTTTATTATTATTCCTTCAGGAGCATTTCTGACTAATTTAATAGTTTCTGGTGAAGCATTTAGTTGCTCAAAAAGTTCGAAATTATTTTCCTGTTTTTTTTATCTATAGCATGATGCATCACGCCGTTCATCGGCAGAAGCTCGCAAGCTCCTTTTTAATTTTTTCAGCAGCGAGGCTTCCCTGGGGACCAGCATATCATTACCTGTTTAAAATTTCATGCGCTGCGTGATATTTCGTGTCTCAACACTTATACCTAACATCTGGAGATTGGTCTCCGTGGCACATATTGTAGGTTGGAGGAGCGAACCGACATGAATTTCGAGAAGTTCTATCGCATCTTAATTTTTCTTGGTTTGATTGAGTTCTTCCTTCAACTATCCATCGGGGAGTTGAATGAAGAGAGAGAAGCGTCCATCCTCGGGATGATGTTAGAAAAACACATCTTCAGGAAGATTACCGGAGCTGTTTTCGGTGATGTGTGTTTGCGGGATTGTTATCGCGACGTCAGATGTCAAAGCTTTAACTACGTCTTCACCCAAGATATGTGTGAATTAAGCAACCGCACAAAAGAGGCTAGACCTGAAGATTTTATACCAAACTCTGAGAGGTACTATTTCAGGCGAGACAAGAATAGAGGTGAGTAGACTAGGTGCTTTCGTCCCACTTTGGAGCTATCCATTTAGTCTCATTCTCTACAGATTTTCATTTGATTTATTTACTTTTCCAGTGTTATTTGCTTTAAAAGTGATTTTTTTTTAATACCAGTCTCTCTCGGTTCCATACCTGATCTGCCCGCAAAATCATGTAGGGAAATTAATAAGAGTGAAGAAGGAACAGCAGTCAGCGGCAAATACTGGTTGGATTTCAGCATACTCGAGATACCTGTGTTGGCTTATTGTCACATGGAGACCGAAGGTAAGACGTGCAGGTTCTAATCCAGGGGATAAATGCTTATTGCACTGACATATTCTCTGCAAATTTCCACATCTTTCGAGAATTTTCAAAAGCCGGAAATATTCACCTCAGATTGCTTTTTCAAAATGTTTCAAAACTAAGAGCGAAAAAAAAATCATTGTAAAGATATTTAAGGCTAAAAAGAACCCGGCTGCACCGTTTAAAACACACATCTTCACCACATGTTGTGAACGAGCTATTTACATGTTTTTTAATGTTCGATGTTGATTTGGTATTTTGTGATCTGAGTTTTACGTGCAGCTGATTTATCTTGGTTGAGAAATGCCTGATTTAAAAACCTCAAAAATAAACGGATGGTCTTGTGTCGACTATGGACACGAAATTTTCGCCTCCTGTAGATATCTCACGAAAATAAATTCATAAATTTCGTATTCGCAGACATGTAACATCTTTTATTCAAATGCTACCAATTAGATATAACAGTCATTATGGACCAATAACGCCACGCTGCCTTAAACATTTTAAAAAAAGCTTCAAAGATCAAGCTGAGTGCTTAATATAGAGTTCTGGAAAAGTCGATGAAGAAACAAAAACCGCGTACATACCTCCTTATCAGCGGAAAATGTTTGAACTCAGCTCTAGTCCCGATTCGGCAATTCCATGTACACGGCTTCTTATCAAGAACACGAGGATAAAAGGTCTCAGACAATGTTTTCAATCGACATTCATCAGGTCAATTTGAGGTGAAATATTAACCTGTTGGACCGAAATTGTGCAACAACAAAGAGAGTGAGGATCATTGTAACAAACTATAAGTGCGCCCCAATAGACTTACTTAAACTACTCGATAATTCTTTTGTTTGGTTGATTCCAAATTAAATAGTCGTTCTTTTGAACAAGTTTTCCATGGAAATTATTTTGAATGAACAAGGTAGCAACGAAGTCAAAATACACAATTTTTGATAGAAACCTGACCTTGGCCTGGTCAGAATTAGAATCCCAAATTAAAGAACTGCTGATGTTCTCGGTGCAGCAATTGCTTGATCTGGAAAATTTGGAGAGAAAAGGCGCAGAAAAATTTTGGAGTGGTTGAAAACTCATCAGTAATTTATCAGCAAAACATTTATTTATCTCCTCTCAATAAATTTGGTTTTCTGTCTCGGCAGTCATTATCAATGCGTTATCTATATTCCCTAACAGTTCGAGTCCAGTCATTTGTGACCGTTTCAAGTTCATGCGCCAACTCTTCGACTGTTCTTTCCGGTTCGAGTGGCATACTGTATTCAAACAAAGCTCAGCACTACTCTAACCATATGAATTGCAGTTGGAGTCTCCTTTCGGACAACAACATTATGCTTACATTCTTCAAATTCGACACTGAGTGGCGGTACGACTTCGTAAACGTGTACGATGGCAGATCTACATCATCTCCATTGATTGGGCGATATCATGGAACCTCTCTGCCCCCAGTCGTTACAAGTTCATCAAACCAACTCTTCATCACTTTTACAAGTGACGTCAGCGTCAGGAAACCAGGGTTTAGGGCAAGTTACCGTGGTAAGCGTAATTTTTAACGCCAAAAAAAATGCCACTTTATATTTTTCCGTCGGTCGTAGTTTATGCTTTAGAATGTTTACGAAGCCTGGATATGCAATTCAATTCAGCAGTCCAGCTAACATGACCTATCTAAATCTGCTCTCTTCGTATCAAGGACCGCTTAAATGCTAAAAGGGGACTATAGTTAAACTAGTATTCATATATGTTCTTGGGCGTTGTCATTCAAAGAATATCCAATCGATTTGGCAAGAACGATTACACCCTTCAGTTTGAAACTCTTCCTAAGTTTTTTTTTCGCTGTGATTCAGTTGTAAACGAGATCCGCCTTATTGGTAACACGTCATTAACTGGGAGCGTGGAAGTTTTCGCTGACGGCCAATGGGGAACAATCTGTGAAGACGGCTGGGACATTAACGACGCTCACGTGATCTGCAGACAGCTTGGTTTCCCTTCAGCCATTAAAGCCTTTAGCAGCGCCACGCATGGTCAAGGATCAGGTCAGATATGGATTCATAGTTTGGAATGCACAGGGAATGAATCTCATATCTACGAGTGCAGCCATAACGATTACAATTGTGATCACTCTGGGGATGCCAGCGTAGAGTGTTCCTCTATCATTCCTTGATGGCATGAGTTGCACTGACACATAATACTAAAGGGCTACATAATAGAAAGTCCTCAGTAGATAGGAGGTTAGCCTTTGTCTTTAGAGATTTAGCAATATCATTATGTGGAACACATTTTAAATCGGAAAAAATTGAACATTTGCAGGATGATTCCAATATGAACGAACTTTCTGGCAAACTCCTCACGGCGGAGTATGTTTGTATAATTATTTAATAAATGCACCTATAAAATTTGTGATAGCTTTTGTCTAGTTTTGGGTTGATAACCATAATATTAATATAATTATTTCATTTTCGTCCAGTTTCTGTTACCAAGGATGGCATTAAATACTCAGGCTCAAGCTTTAAATAGTGTTGTTCTTCCGAGTCCATTCCACCGTAAGGAACTTTGATGGAAATGAGAACTTTACTAGTCGGGAATTTGTAAATGCAAGGAAATTCTGAACCAAGCCCAAAATAGAAAATACCTCCGCTTTTAACTGATGATTGGATTTGATTGTTAACAACAAGTGTTGTTGCTGTGGTGCAATATGAGCAAGAGGAAATTAGCTGGGGAAGAGACTGACAACCTTGCAGTCTTGAGTCTTGGATGATCTCATTTTAGGGAGATTATTCACAGGTTAAGTATATCGCACGAGAGTGATTACCGATGATTCCGAAAGAAACTTTTTATTGGCCTAAAAGTCGGATTTAAATTAGCATACTGACTGACGGCATGGAAACTTTGTATATAAGAGTGACTTCGAACACGGAGGAAGTGGAATTTATCGAGCAAAAGTTATGCAGATTTGTGAAGAGGCAGATTTCAGATACTGTATAAAGTTAAAAAATGAATCGGGTGAAATGGACTCAAGGAAAAATTCTTGATCTTTCTAATCTTTCCTTAAGGGTATTGAGGTTAGGGCAAATCAAATCTCAAATGTCTGTTACAGTCTCCCGGTTGAGCGATGACAGTGGCCTTCATCTCCCCCCTTCCTCGACAAGACGGCAGAGTCTTGTTAAGAAATTTGTCACAAATTTGAACAAAACCGAAAAAAGGAAAGGCGAGAAGTGAGCCACACAAACAGACAATTTGAAAGACTTCGAGGAAATTGAGATGTTCACTAATAAAAAGTACACCTATAATAGTAACAGTATCAATGATGTAACTGAGTTACCTTCATAAGCTATCAAGAATCCTTTTTTGTTGATTACTGAATCGGAGGTGAACTTTAGATAAAGGTAATTTCCAGAACTTTTGATGACTTTGTTAGTATGACCTCCAGTAAGCTTGCCAATCCGTTTGGAACTGGTAGATTTTCCCTCGTAAACATGGAAATAATCCCAACCATTCTCCACGAAAAAGTAATTAAAAACCAGTTTAATCCGATGTGATGAGGTAATAAGCCATTCACAACGACTATTACTGCCATAGTCCTTGGGATATTCTGGAGTGTTGATTGTTCCCGTTTCCACTTTGTTCGTGGTTGAATTGCAGGTGGACTTCGTCACCTCAACTTGAGGGACAACAACTACACAGAAGAAAAAATGCATGGGATAAAGTTTAATAAAACTTTTAACAATTCAAGAAGTGGAAAAAGTTTAAAATTGTGTTTGACCTGAAATATAAGCCACCGTTTGGCGTGTGTGAGAGTGATTCGAATTAATTTGGAAAAGAACAAAATATAATAAACCAAACGTGCAAGCAAGAAAATAAGCAAGGTATCAAGACAGGATATTTAATGAACGAACGAACAAACAGAAGAAAGCTTAGCCACTCGAATGTATGGATGGATGGATGCCTCTAATCAATCAATATCGTATAAATGAGATGCAATTTAAATCATTCTCATTGTTGATCACGATAACAATGTTCAAGAGGGCACTCACACTTGGTTTCACAGTTCTTTCCTGCCCAATCGCTGAGGCAGATGCAAGTGTATTCATTTTTATTCCCAACACAAGAACCGCCATTATCACAAGGTCCACTGTAACATTTGTTTAGATCTGACAACAAAAGCAGTGAATAATCAGTTGTTTCTAATCTTTTTAGTTTTTTTAATTCTTTGCAAGGCAGTCTCTGTTTTTAACAATGTAGTTGAATCTACAAAAAAAAAAAAAACCAAAAACAAAAACTAGATAGTAGTTAAGTGGTCAAACGCATCTGTCAATATTTTGTCTTCTCCGCGCATTTGTCCTTCGTTTCCGTCGTTTCCGTCGTTCCTTTTCATCGTTAAACCAACTCTCAATTTGTTTGTTTCCATTGTTGATTTCTCGATTTAAAACAGGACAAATCATGTTATAAAAATGAAAATAAATATAAGTAAAAAAACCTCTTACCCCTAGCCCGCCAATGGGCCATCAATTTCCATGTTTGCTGTTCCCCTTTGAAGAAATGAATACCCACTGCTGAAGCTGTAAGTTAAAAAAATTAGAATGAAAAGGACAATCGATAATTAGAATAAAGTTGGACCATCGCTAGTTTAAGGAAGATTGATAGATCCTAACTGAAAAAATGCAAACCGGCAAGACAAATTAGAAGTCTTTTAATTGTCACCTGACTCCTCCTTTCGAGATCTGAAGAGACGAAGAGTGACACAAAATAAACCACCAATCTGGTGGTGAAAATGGAGACCTCCCTACCCGCCACCCCCTTTTCCCCCTCCTCCAACTTTTTCATATGTCCTGAATGGTAGAAAGAAAACCTTGTAGCATAGAGTGTTTCTCATTATTTGCAACTTAGATGAACTATATATTTTTTAAAGAGATCTTAGACATTAAAACGCTCCAAAGATGATGATTATGAGCTTTAAACACCTCCCCATTTATTGCCGTCGTTATCAACCAGTTTGTATCCAGAAATTGGAGTATCAGTAAAATCATGGCCTGTCTCCGGAACAAAAGCAATCTCTGTGGATAAGATTGTGGTTGACAAATCCCTCAACCTTAACCAGACTTCACTTGGGATAGCAGCACACTTGGTAACGTTACATCGTAAGTATGATCTTCTGTTCCTGGCCACGCCATAGATAACGTCTTCATTTTGATCATAACCAAGAATGCTGACAATGCGTCTGTCCAAGGCTGAAAAAAAAAATAAAACTCACCTCGAACCGAGGGCGAGCTGGTAAGGGTGAGAGCAACTAATTTCAATAGTGGTGATCTGGTAGGGGTGCAGGCTCGCAGTTAGGACGGAGTCTATAAACAGTTAAAATAGACTCATTCTTCCGATCTCATGTCTTTTCTTGAATATTGTATTTTTGACAAAGAAGAAGACAACGGTTTTTCCCTAGAGTGAATTGACTTAATATCGTTATCGATGAAGACGCTGGGAGTAAAGACACAGAGGGCTTTCTGGTTCAAAACAAAAAGAAAAGAAATAAAATGTGTCCGCCTTAGATGATACCACGCCATAGTGTAATCAAACAGGCCTCTCTCGTGTGTCGAAAGGGAATGGGAAGGTAAAAAAAATTTTAAAAAAGGCAAACAAACAAGCAAATAAGCCAAACTAACAAACAACTGAACACTAAGTAGGGGAGGTCAGCGGAACATAAATGTAAGTCGAAGCCCAGGATCGAGAAAGGAAGGGGAGGACGGTGGATGTCTCCCGCCTGGCACGGGAGCGATGAGGTTAGGAAAAGAAAGAAGACATTAAGAGGGACTAAAAAGAGGAAGAGAAGACGCCTGTACCACTGCAAAGGATAGAATAAGGATTAGTAACGTCAGCTTACCAATCCAACTTTCGTCCTTTAAATATCTCCTGATAAAGCATACCGCCTTGATCCTGTGTGGGCACAAGGGGCGATTTAATCACGTTAATTCAGGAAAAAGGAAATTTTGATTCCGATCAAAAGATGCATTTGTTACCGTCTTGGCTCAGTTTACTCTCACTTTACGAAAAGGCGTCTAAAACTCATTGAACATCAATAGGTTAGGTTATACATGCACAATAGCTATACGGGATTTCCTACCAAAATGACCATAACATGATTTATATGTAGATTTTTATGCTGGGATGCTACCTTCTGTAAGACAAGTAAAAGATCAAAATAATAAAAATAACATCTTCTGACATTATTTCTCTGGTTCATTATCACCTGGGGCTGCTTCTCATTCTCCGGCATCAAGTGACAAAATGTCACATATTCCAAGAGTCTGTCCGATACGGCAAATACTGTGGGAGTCTGGATGATTCTCGAAAGGGACATGAAATCGATTTAATCATGCTAATACTGTTGTTTAAAATTTGCGACCCTAAGTAGGAATATTCCGTCTGTTACCTACGTACCTTAAAAATTCTTTGTTACATAAGAAAAGCATTTTGTTTTTATCATCTAGAAGAATACTTCGTTGATAGACTGGAGGCTTTCCTTCAAAAAGATATAGAACATGTTCATATCATAAAAAAGGATCTTTTGATCTATTTTTCTATATGTATACTTCACTTTTTTGGAGGTGCGGGAAAGTTGTAATTTCATTCCTAAAGGTATGTAATTGGAATTGATGGAATAGATGGAATTGATTCGCAACTAAATTAGCCTTCAAAGGGGCTAGAACCTAGGCCTCCCAAATGTTAATTGGGTGCTACCGTGCTAACTGAGCTACCAAGCCACATCTTGAGGGGCGAGGCAAACTGGAGTAGCGTCTAGGTAAAAATAAAGGCTTTTTGTACCAGTCATATAAACAAGTCAGTGTAAATCATGTGGGAAATATTATTCCTAACACCTAAGTCGTTGTTGTCTCTTCCTAGAACATAATACATTTAAAAAAATCCTGCAAACTTAAGGAAATAGATTGGTAACCCGGGAGGCAACTTGAAAGCATTGACAAAGTCTGTTGTGGAATTGAAAATATCGATAGTTTAAGGTAAATTAGAGACAAATCAAGGGATAGCTTGTTAACGAGAAGAGAAGCAAATGATATTGGACGAGCAGAAGTTGGTAGATGGAACTAAGCTCAGTCTAGGTTTGCAAACTCTAGACGAAACAAAAAAGCAACGAAAACGTAACTGAGGGCCAAAAATATCATTAAGAATATTAAGTAGCATTCTTTTCCTTTGCCTTTCAGAAAAATAGATTTCATAACATTCACTTTTTTGAAGACCATTTACCTGTACTTTCCGTGGAAGATTTTTCTCCATATAGTTCAACTCGCATACATGTAGAAGACATCATTCCAAGAGGTAGAAATCGAATTAGTCGCGCCTTCACCGGAATTGGCAGGTGAGTTTTAGTAGCGATATCTTCAACTAGGTTTCCAAGGAACTTCTGAAGATCAATAACAACAACGAAACTGTTAGGTGAGAACCAGAAGGTGAGTATCGTAAATATCGTCGTTCATACATTTAAATGAGGAGGGTGAATGTCACGCATCAGGGAAATAATAACGCACTATGGCCAGCAGGACACCGTGACATGTCGCCAGCGGGACATGCGCTGTGTTCACGCTCTTATCCGTGACACTGTATCGCTCTGGTTGCGATTGGCTCGATTGGAAAGCTATGGTCTTTGGCGCTGTTACTGTCCAGTTTTCCCGATAGTTTTTCGCAGAGTATATTTGGTATGTGATCTGAAAGATGACCTCTGACTTGGACGCATTTTAAGTACATTTCTAAAGCACTGTTTGCCGACCTTTGAACGAACCGCGTGGTACATGCCGACCATGCTGGTATATTGACATCGATTTCACTTAGTTCTCTGTTCGTGTTCAGTAGGTATTAATGGAATTGACGACAATAGAATGCGTTGCATTCTTTTTACAATGAAGGGGCCAAAGGCTATGATTACATTAACAAAAAAAAAATTCGCTGCCAAGTGGATTCCGACACTTAGAAAAGTGTGACCAAGCTTCTAGCTTTGTAAAAACGTGTGGTAAGTTTTTAATTTATGAAAACTTTTAACAGGCAAAGCAGTAATTTTGTGGCTGATAAAAATTGATTGAAAGGTCTCTAAAGCCTATTGGTACTTAAATTGCCTTATAAAATGTCGCTTTCTAATTTTATTTAGTGAGTTTGCTGCATTGGACTCCACGGCAAAAGAGCTTGGTTTGGGTGAAAATATTGCCATCAAGCTCAACAGGGGTTCTCGTGTATCTGGACGTCAAGAAAGATACACCACTGACACTGACAAGCAGTTGGAACTTGAAATGCCATCAATATTAAACGAAACCGATAAGCTGTTAAGTAAGTAGAATCAATATACCTACAATAATGGACAGATTTAAGCGGAGTGCGCAATTAGCAAACGGATTCGGATTTTACGATTTTTTTAACGGATTGACGGATTTGGTTATCAAATTGTAGCGGATCGGCGGATTTGCATACCCCTATTCACCCCCTCTTAAATTAACGCCTTCCTCGGTTTTTAGAAGTTGGAGCCCAAGGATTATTGCTACTCCTTTTGGTTGGAATGCTATATTAGTGCATCTCTGGAAATTTTCCCACCTGCAGGTTGGTGACATTTATAACTTTGTCCTGAAATTTGTAAAATGAAGAAAAAAAAATACCTTGTCCTTCCCATTATGTTGATATATTCTCCAATTGGCTCCATCCTCTGAGTAGTTCAAGTTGTATTTTGTCACGCTTTGAACATTACCGATATTTGAATGCCGTGGCTGGGTAGCGACCTACAATTTGAAGAAATAAAACAATGCATTAAGACTTTTCCTCCTGTTTTGCTTTGGTTGCCGTTACTCAAAGCTGTTTGGGAAGATGGTAAATTCCATAAAATACGACGAGATATTCGGATACAAAGAAGGAAGTAATGAAAGGAACATTTCGTTCAGGAATGGCAACGTACAGGACGCTTATAACACATAAACCATGTATTGATTTGCCTAACCATCGATTTTGTGAAACTCAGTGGTGGAGCACGAGGGTGTAGATCAGCAGCTCTGAATTTCGATTACATTGTATTTTCGTGACAAAAGTGAATAACATCGTAAGGAACTGTGTCGCTCTCAAAGAACGATCAGTAACTCACGGTAACCTTGAGACTGCAAATCATTCACTTTTATACTACCGCTGTAATTATGTGGATTTCATGAAGATCAATTTGTAAAAAGAGCGGTAGCTCATTGGAGTTTGCTGAGCACCAAGCGCTGTTGAAGTTCAATCGGCCACTAGAAGCATTCAACTTTGGCAGATCAGCGTTGGAGGAAGCAGTCATCTGAGTATCTGTTATTAGCTGCTTCTCCACTCCAAGTGCAGGGAACTCTGAAACAAGTAACATTTCAACGGCAGAACTTAGAACTTTAGTTTTTTCTTCAATCTGTCTGCATACAGGATGCTTTTAGAATTTGAGCATCATTGACTATTCTCCCGCCGCTAGGACAGCCTCGGAGCATGCGCAGCACGGATTGTGTTCCTAAAAAAAAGGATTCAAATTTTTTTCAAAGATGTTTTCTCACTTTCACAAAGTTAGCGTGTTGCTAATTGACATACTTTATGTTAAAAGTGGCATTGGACATTTAAGCTATCAGATGAAACGATTTGAATAATTATACAATTCAAGAGTGGAATTAAAGGCCGTTGGTCCCAAACTTTAGTGGTCTTGACTAACAACCCAACTATAACTATAGTTACACGTAAAATGATAGTCCAATTGTGATAATTCACTGTTAGGTAGCTGCACGTGCTCTGGTGCGCCGGCCAAGAGAGTTACTAAAGATAAGAGAGAGCGAACGTGACGTGAAATTGCTCAAAGACATGCGTGATATTTCTTAAATGGATATTTCTTAACTGAACAGGTATATCGTCTTCTAATGTTAGGCAATTGTTCAAAGACTAAACTGTGTTTCGAGAAAAATCTTCTGCTCTATTGCCTCAGACGGTCTGTGACGAAAGTTCTAGGCTTGACCAGTATAGGCACGTGTACGTCTCCAAACATATCTTTGTTTTAAATGTTCCATACAAAGATAAATTTTTATCCTACAATTTTTATGCACCTTTACTGCAAAATCAGAGGCTAAGCAAACAGCAGTCTAATGGATCAACAAACCTACCTTTTGTGGGTGCTGTCTCATTTATGTAACAGCCATAAACTTCAATTCGAAGAGCACTTCCTTTGTGCCAAGAAGTAGGCTGAATTCTTAGAAATCGAATAGAAGTAGGAGACCTGTAAGCCGTTGGGATTGCTGCGTTTCCATTTGTTACGTTGACAAGGCCCTGGCAAAAAAAATAATAACGATTAAAGATCTTTCATGATGAAAAAAAAATGAAAAAATAACAAAAGTTGATTTTGCTTGCTGAGGCAGGGAAAGCGCTTTTACAGACAACTGGGAATAGATTAAAACACATGCGCACAAATAGAGGGGTTTCGACTGTTACGTGAACAATCAAGGGACAACAGTTTTCATAAAGTTGTGCCTGGCTGGTAGTATGATTTCTAGTGAGGCGCGCTGAAGTCTATTCCAGCTAAAACTTTCAAAAAAAAAAATTCAATGTTAAATACGGGGTCTACGATTAAGAATATGTCACCCTCCGCGGGGCTTCAGAGAATAAGGTAAACGCACGCACACGGCACGTTATAACACGCTCGCACGCTAATGGTATGACACGCTTACCGTGCAGATATGCGCATAAAAACAATTGATTTTGGAGAGTGTGTTCGTAGCCATTGTTCATATTTGGCTAACACGGTAGAGCTTTGTTTCTTTGCTTCTTTAATTAAGTGAGAGGGTTGTTTCTTTGCTTCTTTGATTAAGTGAGAGGGCCTGAAGGTAAAACATTCAGTGGCTCGTGGTCAAGAGGTGTGGAGCCAATATTTCCCGCCCGACCCGATGTTATCATAAATTAGCACCGCCTTTTTTCCTTTCTTCCTCTCTTCTCACACTTTCATTCACGGAACCAGGCGCTAGGCTGTGCAGATTTATGTAAACAGATTCTCATGAATAAGCTCAGTATAGAATAGGCAGCTCATCGATTAATTCGAAAGTCAGTTATTTAGAGTGATCACCGTTCATAGATGCCTATGAAACATAAATAATCTATGAATTCCTATTAGTAAGTGCACCGATTGCAAGTTATTAGATAAAAAATATAATAATATAGAAACCTTAGGTAGAGGTTTTTCTTTCTTCCACTCCTCCCCGTCACGACTCGTCCAAGCATTAAACGTTTTGACGTGTTCTTCAGAATTTGGTTTTCCTTGTAACACGATCTAAAATTTTAAGAAATAAGTGAACAAAGCCAATGCAGTCAACCAATAATAGTTTGTAGACTAAACTATGAAATAAAATCCATAAATTGATCACTTTTTTTAACCCTGAGCGTAAACAACTGAATTACACTTCTTTAAAAAGTGACCGCGACACACATAAATCTTTGTTTAAGTAGTTTTGCACAACAAAAGGTGCTCAAACAAACCATTTTCAGACGGATGAATCTCTCAAAGTTGATTAGTATAAACTGTTCTCTGTCAATTGAAGCGCTTCCATCGGCAGGGGACCAGTGCCCTGAGCTGCCAAGCCTAGCCCGATGGGGACTGTGACCAAGTGAATCTTGAGATGTCTTGAAGAATGACGATGATAAAAGTTGGCTCTCCTTCATGTACCCACTTCTCATGCCCAGCGGTTGAACACAGGGGGAGTCTAATAAGAAAAATTCTAGGCTGTGCATATCACGATATCTTTGGCACATTTTCGCGATCGGTTTGTCAGAGATATTGGCTGTGAGAGGTTTCATTTCTATAATTACAATTTCGCTGTGAGGCGGCTTGTTTCAAAAGTAGTGCGTGCTGGTCATCTTCGACCTATGTGAAGATTTGCATAGAAAAGAAGATGCTTCTTTAAAAAAAATTTACCCAATGTTTCAACATGCAGATTGATGGATAATAACAGCTTCCATCATGTAGGCTCCGAAACAATTTCTACTCTTTTCACAACCTTCGTTCATCATTAGAAATTTTCTTGGTTTCAATAAAGAGATGAAGTAATGAGACGTTGAATATACACTATATCCTTCGAGGTCATGAAGTACGGATCAAGCACAGCGAGGTCCGTACGTCATGGCCGAGAAAGAATGAAACTTGATGGCTCTTGAGTTCTTTTATTACGACCACATTTGATGCCTTTTTTTCATATTGGTGTACTTAGCAGAGACAAGTTAAAGGCGTCTAGTCTAGCACTCCGTAACAAACCTGGTACGTAGAAGTAGAACGAAGTGTGAAAATTGTCAGAAGTTTTAGTCAGCCTTGTTCCGTTATTTGGATCTGTAAAATTATCGTATTCACCGCTATATGTTATGGTGCTGATCACATAAGCTACGTGAAGGCGACCAGGCTCAGTGAGTCCTTGAGGATCAATGGAAATGACTACTTCAAACGAGAATTGTTGGCATAGCTCGAGCCTGTTGAGCTGAAAAAAGCCAAAGAACGGTATTATGAACTACAACTAACTGAATCAATTCAACTTTTTGACTACATTAGTTAATTCAAGATTCCTCCTGCTTTTTTAATTGTTTTGTAAAACTGTGATCGAACTTAACACTATGCACGAAGAGATAAGACATGGATGGGAACTTACAAGACACACGCGGTTCAATTTTGGGAACGTCCACTGACGGCTTTCCGTTATATTTGTTTGTGTGATTATACCTTTTTTTCCAGTATTTCCTTGAAATGAGATGATTTACTGAATAGAAATGTCAAAAAAAAGAGAGGAATCGTACCTCGACTCTGTTATTTTGTAGCACATCTGGAATCACTGAGAACGAAGTTAAGTTTACTGAACTGAATTCTGCTTTAAATGAAGCCTGTAGAATGATAGTTACATGGCTAACCGCAGACGTTGAGTTGTTATTATGGGTTACATTTACGTTGACTTTAGTTTTGTTTCTGTGAAAAAAATCAAGAATGAAAAATTTCAAAATATTTTATTTTTTCATTTTTTTGGTTGACTATTAAATTATGTATTATGACAAGCTAGGGCAGACTATAGCGGGGAAACAGTCTTGCCACTTAGATATAACGTAGATAAGCAAAAAATCTTGTTTCGGGGCAAATAAATAAAAGATTTTGCTTTTTAAATGGTGAAACTGAAAAAATGTCCTTCCATAGGCTTTTCCAATAATCGCCTCGTGGAATTCACATTTTTAATATCCCACTGACACTTTAATCAGGCATCTATTTGTTGTTTTCGACAATTAAATAATTAATTATGACAAGCAAGAGCTGAATATGCTAGAGAGCAGTCACGCTAGTGCTAAACAAAGTAAATAAAAAAAATCTTGTAAATGTTTTAAAACTAGCTTTTGCTAATCGTACCCTTGAAACAAGGGCTCGCTGTCATCTACTGCAACCTGTACATTTAATATTGGTGTAGTTCGAGCTATGGAAATCCCCTGCACATTGAGAAAAAAGGAATCATTTAACTTTGCAAGGAGGAAAAGCCTTGCCGCCGTAGAGTTAAGACGTTACGCAACTGCCGGTATATGACATATGACAACACTTTGGGGAATGAGGCCCAGGATTGGATTCTTTCTTCAGATCTAGAAATTAATACATTTAAGGGACCAGATGTAGCTTTGCTGAAAAGGACTCGAAAATGATAGAGAATAATTACGAGATTTTAAATTTGTTTTCCTGACATTAACAATAATTTCTATGTCTTCGTAAACTAGATATGACGAGCTGTTTGCATTGATTTGATTAACCCTTTCATCTCCAAAGTTTTTAGGTCTGTCCACAACAACAAATCATGGCTCGGTAAAAAAACTCACTTTGTAAATGAAGAAACGTAGGTCTTAATTAACTTCACGCCTTAATTCCAAACAACGCTGGCGTAAATAAAAACCTTTTTTACTTACCTTAAGGTATATTATACACCACATTAAAAGGTGGATTACAACAAAACGAATCTCCATTTTGCAACCATGCAACCGAAGACAAATGTATTGAAGTTGATGTAAAATTAACTCTTAAAGATTTAAAAGCTTACATGCTTAAATCAGACTAACTGAAAGTCTTAAATAATGAAGTACCTTTCATAGTGTTTCTTACGTATTAAGTTACGATCTTATTGGTCGAAGCTTTGTGGAGTTAAAGCATCACCTTAAAACTGTTAAATGAACGTGCTTATCGGTAGGAGGCTGAGAAGTCCATTTTCTTAGACTAAAACACTATTAACTTGACACAAACAATCGCAGATGGAAAGATCTTGACCACTGAGAAACATCTGCCAAGCTTACTAACCCTGCTGTTTGAGTTTAATCTTGTTGGATCGTGACACAATTCAGTGCAACTGCCCTTTGTAATAAAGCGCGATATTTTAATAACTATCTTTTCATGTTGAGAAGATAGATATATTTAAAGTAATTTCATTTAAAAGTTTTGGTGTACGGTAATCTACCGACAGTTCACGACGTCAAAGCCAGAGTAAAACATGGCTCCCCACCTATGTGCTCTACTACCAAGGTATGATTGGTGAAACAAATCACTGGTTAAATACTCAGGACAAACCTTTTAAGGTTGTTACACGGTTTTTTTTATCTGTCTTTTGCTTTTGTTTTTTTTTTCGCTTTTGGTAAAAAATGGAATACCTTCATAGTGACAGGGATTGAAAAAAGTATTTGGGGGGATTAACCTCCTAAAAGCTCTCTTCATCTTCCTTCCCATCCCTCCCTCTGTCGAAGTTCCAGAAAGCTTCCTAAAGCCCCATCTGAGGAGGATTAAAGAAAAATGGATCAAGACGGACAATAACCAGCTAACGAAACTGTGGTTCCATTTGACTTTCATCTCTATTTATCTAAATAATTTTCTTCTACATTGGCCATTTATTTTTTTCCCTAGGAAGACATTTATCATAACATTATCTACATTTCTCTTTTTAAGCGACCTTTAAAATTGACATTTGCTAAAAATAGGCTCCAAGCTGACACATATTTTCATTGGAAATGAAGTGCTCTCGTTAATCATTAAAAACGAAAGAATAATAAAATAGGAACCGATAAATCGATGTTAGACAGCTTTCCTTTATGAGCGGAAAACTAACTACAATGCGCACGTGACAATGGGAATATCCTTTATCAAGGATGTATATACGGTCCTATTAATTCCTACCTAGGCCACTTCGCAGGAAATACTTCATCTACGTACGAGATTTGTAAGTCTAATTTATCTTTATAACCATTAGACGTATACTGAATAGCTTTGTTGACTGTAAATCGATGAGTAAAACGGCCTTGAGTCAAACAAAAAAATTGTCAAGAGACTACTGCAATTCATTTCTCTAGAAGTTGAATATTTTGTGTTATAATGACGTTAAAATGGTTTGTAAAAGATGGTGTTTCGAGAAGAGCTCCCCACTGATCTTCCAACATTGCCTGAGTGAAGTAGCAATATATATGCTCAGCATTTTTTACAACTCTTAGCACAGTTTTCGTTCATAAAATCAGGGTTTTTTGTGCATTCTTGGGCTTTGGCCCACTCTGAACAGTGTTTGTTTTTATCCTTGCAACCTGTGGGGAAAAATTCGAATGCCATTTGAGTATCAAGATCGAAATCAAGAGCGGATCAAGAAGAATCTTCTCATCACCCTCGAAAGGTTATTTTTATTATTGATACACAAGCAATGAAATAAAAGCACTTACAGTTTGAGCAACTTTTCCAACAATTGTCTTCCATAAATTTCCTATTTTTCTTGCACTCTCCATCCTTAGCCCAGAGTGGACAATTGGTAGGATGCTTATCGATACAAGGAGCTGTAAGGGAACAACATAAATAATGGACTAATAAATTATTAAAATAATGATGGTGATGATGATGATGATGACGATAATGATGAAAATGAAGATCATCATTATTATCAACTTCATCACCGTCATCTTCAACATTATGGAATGTAGCGAACGAAATAACGTAGCGCTGCAGAACGCGCGTTTATCTGTCCGCAGGATGATTTGAGACGAGTCGGGGAGAGGTTTGTTGGGGGTCTATATTAGTGATAGACCCCTTGGAGATCTCTCGCCGTATCGCGTCGTTCAAAGCCTCAACCTTTCACGCGGGCGAAAAAACGCTCGTGCCGAAGCGCTATTAATGAGGGCCTACTAGAAGCCTAAAAAAAAATGAAAAAGACTCAAGCAACTTCCTCTTTGCAATTCCTGTGCTCCTAAGTTGGTTTTCCTGAGGTTTCAGCTAAACTCATACAAATGTACTGAACTATTTTAAGTACTCACGATGGTATTTAATTAATATTATTAAAATGCATCATAACAATCATCAAAATGATTTAAGTTTCCTTAATAATGACAACAATACTAATAATAATGACGATTAGTATAAAGATATACTAGTATCGAGATTCTTCGGGAGACACTCTAACACTCTGCTACCAATACATCTTCCGATCGGGAAAAGTTTGGCTTACAAAATAAGACTAATTAACAAAGGTAACAAATCTGCAAAGACGCGAAAACTAAACTAAGCAAACCCCGAACAAAGACAATTACGTAATAATTTGCAATCCTGGCGCCTAAAAAAGTTATTGTTAGCGCCGCATGACGTGTGCGACCTGGTGTCACTCTTTTTCGATAACTTAAAACGAAACGGGTAATTTTTTTTTCGTAATTAATAGTCTTTGAGCTAGTATTTCTAAGGCACTACAGTCTTCTACTTATTCTTCTCAACAAGTTCTGTGATAGTTTTAGTACTGTTTACAATCTTTCGTACACGCTGGAAGCTGTTATCAATGTAATGTAACGAATTTTCCCTTGAAAGACATTGTCGTCCATTTTGATGACAGTTACTGCAGTCTTTAACTCGCAGTATCATAGTGACAGTTTTATCAACACTATTAACGGTTTCCGCATAATTTCAACACCAGCTTCAGCTTTCATTCTGACTTTACTCCATCAATGGATATTTCTCTTAGGAGTGGAGTTACAACAAGAGAGGAGATTAAATTCGGGCCATCCTTTTGAGAAAGGAGCCTTAATGTTGAGTGAATCGCTATAATAGTAATGATTATCATCAAAACCTATAAAATGTAACTCACCACAAAACGAACAGCTTTTCCAGCAGTTTTCTAACATAAAAGGAGCAGTCTTAGTGCATTGCCCATCCGCAGCCCAATCCACACATCCATCTCGCTTGTTCTCGCATTTAACTGAATTGTGAAAACAATTGAAATGTGAAGAAAGGTAGGAAACCTATTCGACTAACTAGTAGAAATGATCCATTGAAGGGTTAGCGCCCAGCTCTTAGTAAGGTACTCTAGGTTTTCCTGACAGTTTGCCGACACAATTTTCAGTCCTGAGTGAAGAGGGGAGTTTTGAGTGTCCTAATCAAGAGCACAGGGATTTCGAGGGCTTTGTACCCGAACCGTTTGATCCCGAGTTCAGCGAGTTAACGCTATAATGCTGCGTCTCATCTCTTTTATCTCTTTCATGTCAGGTAACCTCCGGCAGTTTGCCATGTTCCTTGAAATTTTCGGAACCTAACTTATCTGTCACGATGGAACAAGGTTGCTGTGAGATTAAACATCCTGCTCTGGAATACAGCATAATAACGGCTAAGGCCTTAACCCAATCCCTATGATCTGTAATAAAGCGTATCAACCACCCAGGAACTGCAATTCTAGCAAAGAAAAAGAGTGATCTACTTTGTCACAACATGGCATTTCAAGAAACTTAGTGTATCAAGCAAACATTTTGCCGGGGTGTCCGTTTTGCCGATCAGTCAAAGGGTCAGGCGAGCGATCAGTCGCTTCTCATTTTCTATTCCAATTATTGATTGGATGCAGTAGACAATCATTCAAGCAATCCAGTTTCCTCTTACCACAATTTGAGCAGCTTCTCCAGCACATCATTTCCATAAAGTTTCTATTTGATGAACATTTGCCATCTTTAGCCCATGTGATGCATTTGTGAGGAAATTTGTTTACGCAAGGAGCTTTTGAATAAAATGAAGTCAATGTTAGTTACATTGTAATTGAACTGCTAAAAAAAGGGGAAATCACGATAGCCTTGAAAATTATTTTTGGATAGGAAGGCTCCTAAAGCTCACGCCCCATTTGAAATTGAAGCATGCCAGGTTAAATAAATATACAAACTGTCCTTTTTTGCAAAAATGGGTCATATGCCCCCTGGGTCTCTTCCCTAACACTCGTTGCAAGTCTGCTATACAATATGGCGACGTTATTTGGCTGAATTTTTCCAACCTTGAATTATCAAACTTTACTGAGCTATGTCATTTTTTGAATTTCGTGGCAACGCTAGCGTTTCTCTATCTGTCCGTGACAAAAAAAAGACTTGAAACTGACTATGGGAGTCGACTAGAAAACATTAAGCATGGGATAAGAACCGGAACAAGAACAGATTTTTCTTTCCTCAGTTGAGGTTTTTTTTTTCTTACTGACCGCATTTCGAGCAACTTCGCCAGCATTTTTGCTCCATATATGGCCTGTTCTTGCTGCATTCTCCATGTTTTGACCAATCAATGCACTGCCGTTGGCTATTTTCGCACTTTGCTGCATGAGAAAAACAACAACTAAAACGTCAGAGATGACATGGAAAATACATTTTCATTCAGGTGAAGAATAACATAAAACAGAATATGTAAGTCTGCAACATTTTTCGCGAAAATCAATTTACACAATAAAAACCTCACACATTATTGGTTATTTTCTCACCACAGTTGGTGCAGCTACGTCGACAGTTTACCATCATAAACGGTGAGTTCTTAGTGCACTCTCCTTTAGCAGCCCAATCCTGACAACTCTTGAAGTTATTGACACATGGACCTGTAAAAAAGACAACTTTGCAAATTAGTTTTTAATTGTTGGTGTTTTCAAGATTATTTAAATGCAATCTGTGTCTGTGTTGCTTCTCATTCTTGCCTTCCTCGTACCTTTGGCTTCTTCAGGTTTTAAGACTATATTTGTCTTTACATTTTTAACTCATATTATGGTATTTTGGCTTTGCTGTATTACATCAGAATTGACACCTCTTAATCGTTGTGGTGTCAGTACCCATCATCCCACTCGGAATAGTTTTGAGTCTTTTATTAACCCTCGCTGCACTGTTACCTAAAGCTGGCAGTCCTTGAAAATTTCAAACAATAGGGTCATATTTGTTAAGCAGCAGATTTTTCTCAGACATCTAACTTCAAACTGAATAATTTTTCTTTCCCTTAGTTCGAATAAAGGAGCCGCTTTCCTTCACTTGGCTTGATTCAAGTAACAAACCCCAACTGAGCTCTGTTTCACCTCTCAACCACGCCTAGTTTAAGGATTAAATAAGACGATCTTCTGACAATTTTACTTACTTTGTTGAGCAATGGAGGACGTTTGGGGAGCTCCTGGTCTAGCCACCGCGTTAACACCTCCTGTAGCTCCTACTGACCCGGTTGCTGGGGCCGTTCCGGTTGCTCCGGCTGCACCGGTTGCTGCGGCTAACCCGGCTAATAAAGCGGGAAAGGTCCCGGGATAAGGTTTACTTCCTGGAGTTTGACCAGCCCCCGGCAACAGTGGAAGGTGTGGAGTTAAGATAATTTCACCATTTGGAGTTAAAACGACCCCAGGAGCAATAGTGATGTTATTTTTACCGGGTATCACCACAGGCACACCACCAGCACAAGCCCCTAAAGCTCCACTACACGAGGCGTTGCCCGTAGGTTTCACGGCCGGGGTCGTAGGGGTAGGGCTTGGAGAGCTTGTAACGGTGGGTGCCGCAGTCGTAGTGGCCTCACTTCCGACCGGGGACGAAGTTGTACTTCCGGAAGTGGAACTTGAGCTTAGCGTAGTTGGAACAGTTGGGGGAGTGCTGGTGCCGGGGGCTGCGGTTGTTTTAGAGACGTTGACGGGGTTCGTTACCGGTTTTACGGTAGAAGAAGCGTTTCTTTGAGGTACACTATTCAAGTTTGTGATTGCAGTTTTGGCCTTGTCCACCTTAGCTAAGAGGTTTTTAAGCACATCTGTGAAAGTGTCGTCCCTCTTTGAAGATATTTCTTCCTTGACATAGTTTTTGGTTTGATTAACTTGACTTCTTTTCCTCTCAAAATTCGAATTTGCCCCAAAGTTGTTCAAATTTTCCTTCGAATCTGTTTTATCAGTGGAACAATGACCATAGACACCACAGTTGTTGGGTTTGTTTCCGGCCACCAGAAGGAACGATGTCACCAAAACAAAAACTATCGCGAACCATCCACTCATCTCACAAGATACTGTCCTTTCCTTACCTGTGATTGGAACCTCGACAGTGACTGATCTTTTTCTTCCGACAGTATCGACCTTTTAGATTATAAAGGTTGCTAAACACAATTGAGCGAGGCCTCGACTTACACTGTTACTAATTGATGCCCTATGTAAAGTTTACCAATAAATATCTCCACTGCCAATTATGTCTGTTGTTTGACAAAGAACTTGCTGGAAGAAATTGAATTAAACTGTAAGTGTTCTCTGTTCACATTGGCGTAGAATCCCTCAACATTAAAAAGCCCCCAGACCAAACCACCACGGACGATATTTCACCTTTAATTTGGTGACACAGGTCGTTCTTTGTCAAAACGGTGCGATATCATGGCATGTGAAAGAGGCCACCCGCTTCTGAGGTTTGCCGGAAGTCAATGTTTAATTTCATGCAGTTCTTCTTAAAGACGCCTCCAGGTACATGAATCTTACAAATCGGAGTCGCTATTGCCTTTTGTGCAATAAAAAGTCTTAGATGGTAGTTATGAAAGCTTATTCCCATCACACCAAAGCATGGGTTATTTTCATCCTAACGAAGGAAAAAGCGTTTCTCACCGAGGTGGCCGTTAGCTGGTGAAACCGAACACTCGAGAGAAACAGGTTACAAATCAATGGAAACAACTGAAATCAAGATTATCAACTCATTTCTTGCATTTGGTTCTATTCGAACAAAGTTATCAAAAAAAGAAAAAAGATTACAAGAGAAAAAAATGCAAAAGTACAGACCGCTAGAGATTAAGAAAGAGCAGAGTCTTGTAGACAATAAAATGCTGGTCCCCTCTAAATTATCGACAATTGTTGTAACGAGCATGGATAGAGAGAAGAGCTGTTAAAGCAAACCACGCTAAATACTTTAACCTAAACAGTCAATCTTCAAGAACGAAAGCCAGGTGGGAGTTCGAATGAAGGTCAGTTAAAAAAATTTTCCAGCAATGGAAGATTCTGTTTAACCACTAAACCCTATTAACGACATAGGGCGAATCACTTACAAGAAGAAGCCATATGTACTGGCTTGCAGGCTCCAGAGTCACAGGACTCACATAAGGATTACAAAACAATCATATAAATCGATTCTCAGTCAAACAGACACTCGTTACAAGGGCTATGCTTTGAATAACCGTAGACTCAAAATTCAAATAATGGCTAAAAAAGAGACGAAAACCAAACACTTCGCACCCCGAGACGATTCAACAAGAGTATTAGATTGGATTCGTTTGTTGGGTCCGATGTAAGAGCATCTGCATTACGTCGATTTCCCTAGTTTAAAAGGAACTATTGAAATCAAAGCGACACGTTTGATTAGTTGAAGGAGTAACGTGGCTTTGAAATCCAATTGTAGACCGCAGTGAAGCAGAACCAACGCAAACACAGATCCCTATCGATAGCCAATTGAATGCGACAGAAAGTAATTGTCGAAAATGTACCAAGCGATACAATGATTAAATGCAAACCACAACAAACCAAGATCGCTCGGGTATGTTGGGGATTGTGCATCTGTCTTCTTTCAAGTGGTGCAGCACTGTTCGCAAGCGAGGACAATCCGGGTGATAGTGTGAAAATCAGTTAACATTTTAATATGGGAAAAAAGGATGATGATACACACTCGTACAAATTCATTCTGACTTCATTACCTTTCCTTCTTCTCATTATATGAAGCTGTTATGTCGTTCAATTAAAATCATTTGTCTATGATGTAATGTCTTTCTCTGATTATTCACTTATAATTTGTTTTATTTAAAGTTTATTTCTAAAAAAAGTTCCTAGGAATAAAGTTTTGCCAATTGTTTAACTATAGCTGAAAGTTGAGGATTTCCGCCCAAATCTGCGATCAGTGCTTGAGATCTGAAAAGTCAAACGAATTAAAACGATTTTCATACGTCACGATAAATTGGTAAGACATATTTACTTATTTCATACATTCGTTGGCAGAAAAAAATAAACAAAACGAAACAAAAAAAAAACACAAATAAAAACAGAGAAACCTTGTATCTAATGCAAGTCGTCGCATAACTACCCGATACAAATTACATTGAGACAATTTAAAAAACATTGCTCCAAAGGTGCTACCTGGCTCAGTCAAGTACAGATTTTTTTTAAATAGCAACACCTTCCGTAGTTTGCAAATAGATTAAGAGAAATGGTAAGTTTTTAAGCTCGGTAAAGAAATAGAGAAAGATGTTTTCTCGTCTCGTCACGAGCGTGTGACAAAGATAAACTTCTGAGTCCCCACCGGGAATCGAACCTCAGACCCTGAGATTCTGCGCTACGATGATCTTCCACTGAGCCACAGAGACTCTAAGGTGAGCGAGGTCTATTACGAAGTTCTGCATACTGCTAGGATCAGCAATGTTGATAACGTCATGTTTGTAAATAGAATAAGAGAGATGGTAAGTTTTTGGGCTCGGTAAAGAAAAAGAGAAAGATGTTTTTCGTCTTGTCACAAGCGTGGGAGAAAGGAGAACTTCTGGGTCCCCATGAGGAATAGAACCTCAGACCTTTCTGTAATTGTATCACACGTTTGAGCATTTTCGACATTGACCGAATTATCACGGGCTTCTACTTACTTGTCCTCCATTTGCTTGAGTATTACTTTAGTGTACGCAAATGAGCCAATCTGCCAGAAAATAAGCAAGCAAACAAACACATTATTACATTGATAACACAGTACGTGCTCAATGTCAGTACTGACCACGAGTTTGGTCAAAGCATGTCTCACTCACCTGTTCTAAACAATCTACAAAATACTTCTTAATGTCTACGTCAGTTGTCCTCTGTCTCAAAATATCTAAGCAATGGGGAATTAAGGTTTTGAATTTTAACAATTTTGATGAGATCTGTTAATCATTAATTAGGCTACTGTAGTTTAAAAAAAGGGTCGCATATAAACGGCCGTGGTCTCAAGGAAAACAGCGCTATTGTCGCCGGCAAGCCACAGTCTGCAGTCTCGGGCTCAATGTTTTTTTCGTTTCAAGGCAAGCAAAGGGAAACGCAAGGCAAGCGCAAAAAGTGAGTCATGTGCCAATGCATGTGGTCGATAAAATGCTCCTCCTCTCGCGCCTGACTCGCACATGGCGCTTGCCTCGCGCATGCCTCCTCTAGCCCGAAAAACGAACACACGAATTATCAAACAAAAACAAGCAAAACAAACAAACAAAATAACTCGTATTCTTAAGGCTACTTAGCCGTGACCAATTAGTAACAAAGATAACACAGCAAAACCTTATTACGAATCCCTAAATCTTCTCTTACTTCGCTTCGTTTGTGACTTCCCACGTAGCAGAACGCCGTAGTCGATGATGCGTCGTCTATGTGAGGATTTTTCTGACTCGGGCGCAATACACGACCACAATGTGCAAGGCATTCCAGAAAATAACCCTCTTCCTTTGCATGAAGCCCCCTCTTCCCCCCCTCCCCCCAACCCTTCCCCTCTGCTCTTAAAATCATACTCACCTCCCCAGAGACCCGACCCAGAGAACTTTAATGAACTTAGGAGGGGCTACTGGAGGACAAACTTTCAAAAAGGATACTCAAAATTCTGGTGCTTTCAGAGTCACTGCGGATGGCATGAATGATCGGAAATGAAAACTTTCCTTCCGTTAGGTCTTCACAAAAACTTTTGTTTTCCTTGTACTGTTGTGAAAAGAGCAAAAGTGAAAAATGGGTTAAATTTCATTCACTTACATATTTGACATACGCTAAGAAATGTTACCAAAAGATTGTTTACGATTAATCAATTCACTTCCTACCTCTTCCGAGAGTAAGTTGGCATAGTCATCTCTGATTTGGAAAAACAAGGCGAGTGTATCCAGTAATGGAACGAAGTTACTGAAATTATACAAGAAAATACTTGGATAAATGTGATTAAGACGAGTAAAGAGAAGAGTGAGTGAAGATTTATTTGAAATTATGTGGATTTGTAACATAAAAAGGTTACAATCAGCTGTCTACAATGTGTTTGTTACCATGTTTGGAAAATAGTTGGACAACATCTTGTAACAAACCATCAAACAAACAAAAAGGAACCAAACATTTCAAAACAAAAAACTAGAAAAAAGTGAACTTTAGAACTTTTAAATAAATTAAATTTTTTTCGACCAAAAATTTGAAACAGACGGCATTGGCTGCCTGAATTGAATAAGGAAGCAATTGCAATCAATAAATGTCGTGATTTTATATTCTCTAGCTGACATGGGAAATTTTACACACACTGCTTTCTTATCTCCTCTGTACTGTACTCCGAATAATGTTCAAAAGAGCTCCCAGTATTTTATTGAGAGGTTACGTCTAAGAATTAAATATCACCTTCTATTTTCACTGAAAGATTGCATCAGCCTCACAGCCAATCTAAAAAGGCCTCCAGTCTCTAAAATCCACAACAAAGCCATTCAACAAAATATGTAGTAGACATTTTCAACAGCAACAGCAATTTTGATTAAAGAAATTCTTAACATTTCATGCCTCCAGTGAATATGCTAAGGAAAGTGACTGCAACCGGGAGCTAAAGTATGTATCAAGTCAAATGTAAGGAGTATCAGAAGGTAAATTTGGAGGATCAATAATATTTGTTATTGGCCTCATCAAAGTTCCACAGGTCAAAATAATATTATGATTCAGTTGAAAGTGTACATCTCCTCCTTGGAAAAAGAAATCCTTCCAGAAGTTGCATATAATTTATGTGTATACGAAAGCAATATATGCAGTAATGAACACTACTTATGTAATAAGGCCTGAAATAAAATTCAGGCCTGTACTACAGTAGATTTGAACCCATGATGTCTGTAATACCAGTGCAGTGCTCTACCAACTGAGCAAACAAGGTCATTGGGTTCAAATCCAGTACTACTTAAGTAATGTTTGTTACTGTGAAGATCTCTTTCGTATTCATTTATTAATCTGCATTTCACATTTGTTATTCTCTTATATTCACAGTCAGATATAATTTATATGACTGTAGCTCCAATGTACACAAACACAAGCACAAAGAGAGAAAATAGGTCTTATTAGGGCTACATAAAAGTAGGAGACAAGTTTAAGTTTGAATTGAAGCTTACTTTTCTTGACCATTTCATGATACTCATCCTCAGATGGGCAGGTGTAACTGTCTCTCCAGTATATATCCATTCCCTGGCCTCTGTGAAGCTCTAACAGTTCCTCTGAATGAAGAAATTGTAGAGATCTATGAGCACACTTCAAATACAAAAAAAAACTACAAAAAATGCCAGATAGGGAATAAATATTTATACATGTTGTTCATTCCTTTGAAAATTAGTACATTAACTCAAATTCTGACTAACAAAACTTCCTAGACTTCTTCAATCTCATAGCCTGTTTCTCAGCCTGGTGATGTATCACAATTGTGAAGAGAATTCACACCTTAATCACTTCTACATGTGGGAGTTAGTGGGCTGAAACTGGAGCTGACAATAATTCACAGAAATAGTGGTACTGACAATACTGAGGCTACCACGTATATCAATTCCACAAGCTAAATATAATCCCCTGGTTTTGCACTATAAGAACTATAGAGGATTTATCTGTGAGTACCTGTAAATATGTTTATACAATCTGGATGGTTCAAGGACAGCACCTTCTCCAAAGCTTTGAAGTACATGTAGTTAGCACTGTTGATTGTGTGAGCCACTCCATAAATCTGGTGAGCAACTAATAAATTATCAATGAAAAGAAAAATGTGAAGATGGTTTATGCATGTATATCCATCAGACCTGCATTTCAAAGAAGCCCCTTAGGGGAGTACAAGCAAGGAAGATCCTGGTGCAACATTCTGCTGTGTGCATTTAACACTCTTTGGATCAACAGCCAGTTACACTACTATCAGTAAATGCATTGATTGTGATGAGACAATACCTGGAATTCCTCTTCGTAACTTTGAGTTATCTTCTATATCATCAATTCTGTGAAAAAAGAACATTACAATCATGCTAGTGTTACAAAGGTACTTTGGTCCTGAGAATTACTCCAGGGCATTGGATTATTTGGCAAATCATATGTGGTTATTTAAAAATTGAACATAGGATATCGATTGGAAACATAATAATATTCAAAATAATTTTAAGCAATTATGAAGTGACTTTAGAAAGTGTTTAAATGGACATGCCATCTGATGAAATGAATCATAATAGACCATGAGATGTGTAGCTTAAAATGGACTGGCATTCAAAATATACACAAATGATTAATTTCTAGAAGTGGCCCCAGCTATAATCTTCAGTCTAATAATGATTACTCTTGTTCAGCTATATTAGTGATAAGCATGGTATACTCAACCTAATTAAGTATATTCCTATATCAGAAAGCCATCCCATGCTTGAGTATCAGCTGTAAATCATTCAATGGGGGTGCCTGCTTACTGTTCTGTATTATTTATTTTAACCCTCCAAAGAATGTATGTAGCAAAATTTGAATATTCCCTGAACTCATTTGTACATCAAGTAATCAGCTGATCAGCTTTGCTTTTAACATCTGCCTTGGCCTTTAAATAGAAAAACATTCCTAGAAAGGGCAACTTAAACTTGGGAATAAATTTGTAAAATTATGAAATTAATTAAAAGGAATAAAAAAACACCAATAAGAAAAATAGTTGAAATTTCATTTTGTATGAGAGGAAAATGATTCATCTTTCTTTAATTCTCCATGCAAAGCCAAATTTAAACAGTATTTAGGCAGTCTTTTTTCGGTCAAGTGAACCAATTCTTAACTGTATGTTTCAATTCATTCACCAGCAATTTGTTATCCATCAAATTAGACTTCTGAATGTGCATAATGAATTGGGAAATACATTTTTATAATCCTTAACACTTACAATAAACTAGAATTGTGTAACATCTTTACCACCTCTGCTATCACACTAAGTTTATCTCCTGGGATCTTTAACCAAAAATTAAAAGCCTGTTGAATAACAAAAAAAGAGTGATAATTTTGAGATGACTATACAGTTAGAAAATCCCTTTGTAAGTTTCAAATAACATAAACTCCAGGGCTTCTGACTTTCAGAAAGAGATTTACTGTGCAGAATAAGGAGAATATGCAGTAAAGATTCAAAAGAATATTCTCCAGAATGAAATACAAAATAGCTCAAGTCATACAGACATCAGCTTTGAAGTGAAGGAGAAAAGAACATGTCACCTGAACCACTTCCTTGACAGGATGGAGCCATCTGCTATTACTTAAGTTACAAAACAGATGAAGAGTGGAAGAGACCTGGAAAGGCCTCATATAGTAATTAGAAAAAGCTGCAAAAGTGGGGAGCAAGCTGGTCAGAGTTTCACTTCAGTTGACCCTTTCACCCCTAGGAGTGACAAGCATGTAATTTCATTTCATAATATCACCCCTCAATCACACATTCAGGTCATAAGAATATTAAGAAAAGGATCACCAACTAAAGGTTCTCTTGAATGTTAGACAAATTCTCTTTTTCAGCACCCTTGGAAATGTATAGGGAGTAGCAAGGAGAATATGCATACTGATCTTTGGGTGTAAAGGGTTAAAGAAAAAGCAATGAGATAAGCAGCAGAAGTGGACTCTGGTCATTGGCCTTTTTGATCAAACAGCACTCAGAGGATTAAGAAGTCCAAATAGTCCTGCAGAGCCAACTGATTCCAAATCACAATATATCCATTAATCAATTTTACTCCGAAGAAAAAATCGGTACCTACCAGGAAATTCCACTGAAAAAAATCACACTCTGAGAGAACGCTCTAGATTCTCACCTGAATAAGCTTCTCCCTGACTTGTTTTCCTGGAACTTTTAGAACGTAACTGTAAGGCTCTAGAAGAATCTAAGTACACAAAGGGAAACATCTGTAAAGCTTTGTTCAAATAGCGGGCACGAAGCAATCCCCAAAATAAATTTTGTTTTCTATTTAATACGAAATTCACTATTTTAATCACGCTTAGAAGTTCTGGCAAGACTTCCGCATAACTCCTGCTAAAATTGGACCCAGCCTCGTCCTAAGTAAAGTTGATCGAATTCTCAGTATATATAGAAAACCTCTTGCAAACTTAACGAGAATATTCGATGTTAATCTTGCTATATATTAATACATATGCCAGGAGATTCGAAAAGGGTAATTTGTATTTTAGTAGCTACCTTTTCCTACATGGAGCAAGAGTCTGTTGAAGGTGAAGACATCCTAAAACACACAAGAGGACTGAATAAAATAGAAATATGCAGCTACTTTACAATCAAACCCTATATCTTAGATACATCAGTAGCTCAAGATCTTAGTTTATCCGCCATATTGTTCCTTGCTGGTTACCAGGTTTGCGCTTAATTGAAACCACAAGCTGCAGCCCGGAGGGACCTGGGGAGTTGTCACGCGAGGCACGTGAATGCCTTAGTCTCAGAGTTGGCACTGAGAGATTTTTCTTACTTTAACCAACGGGAAGTAACATGGACGAAAGCAGAGTCAAAAGTATGAGTAACATCAACGGGAAAATGGGAAAAATAAAAACATCTTGAGAATCGATCAGGCAAACAAATAAGAGACTCAAAAATAACAAACAGACAGGAGTCACTGCTCTACTCCCGAGTTAAGTAGCTCATAATTGCGGGTCAAATCGTAACTATTACAACTTCCTCAAATGCGATTCGTGCACTAACTGCTCTGTTTTTCACTAATTATTTTATTAAGTTGTTATAGGACAGTGTAACCGGACAGTTGGCTGTAATCAGACAGTTAAAGCAGCCAATCGTACTAAGTCCACTCAGTTAAAGCCCATCAATCACAGAATCGATCACAATAACCATAGCAACAACCACTTCCCAACAAACTTTCACAGTTTCTCCTGAGAGAAGTTGGGGGAATTTTTACTTTCACTCTGTCTCCACTGAGATATTTGCTCTAGAGGTATTTTTTTTTGGGAGGGGGGTGGCGGGGGGGATTGTTATGGTTATGATTAATTGGTAACAGGATTTCGTGTCGTCCAATTCTGTCCGTAATTACTCTCGTGATTACCAATTTAGACTCCCGATTCGCGGTCGTCCGATCACTTTCACGATTACAGACCGAATTGGACTCCACTCAGTCCTATTACCATTAACAATCAAAACTATAACACTTTCCCCAGTGAGTGGAACATTTGATTTGAGTAATCTTACTTGAAGGATTTCGTAAAATTGCCCCAAGCGCATGCGCGAGCTCTTATGATTGAAAATGGCGGAAAAAATGAAACGGATATCGCAACCTCCAAAACGGCTTTTAAACGAATATTTGGCAAGACAAGAAGAAAAAGAGGCATAAATCAGCTAAGGATAATAAACTTTATGAAATCGAAATAGTCGCGATCGATAAACAGAAGAAAAAAGTTAAAATTCACTATAAAGGTTACAGTGAAGAAGCTGATGAATGGCGTGACTGTCAGGACGAGAATATGTTTCTATTCGAACGGCTGGAGAAAACGTATATTCCTGGAGAAATATCTCTTGAGGACAGGACGAACGTCTTCCATGGACATGTCTATCAAGAAATAAAGCGCAAGCTGTGGTCAGGGCGGCGTGATGATCGTGACATCAGGATCGAAGTTAATGTTGACCCTGATGTTTTTGATAGAGGACTTGGTAAGGTTGTAAAAGGAATTCAGATCAGAGGGAAGAAAGTGCATACAATCAAGGAAATGCTGCATTGGATCATATATTTAGGGTTAAGGTGGAATGAGAGGATTTTCAATGGAAATGGCGACTTTGCGTATGTTGTCAATGGAACAGTAAAATACTGGTTGTCCAAGAGAAACCCAGTTATGGAGTTTAAATACATCGGAGGGAAATTTGTACGGTCAGAGATAGAAGGCTTGTATGCTTTAGTTTTAACCTTCGTTAGGGGAGACGTTAACAAGAGACAGTACATCAGCAGAGCTTTTTAGTTTTATTTTAATATCTCATGTACAAAATATATTTTGCATTGTTTATGTTTGCATAGTCTACACTGCGAATTTCAAAGGACATAATTTGTCAAAGGCTTAAATTACTCAATGAGGCAGAAGTATAGGTTCACTGTTATATATTCTAAAATGAACATGAAACAAGTGGGATATAAGTTCAAATTATGTTGTTAGGACTGCTACAAAGGCTTTGCCAGTCACTTGAACCCTACATACATTTTGGGGTCCGTTTCCCATTAATTTTAACAAGATGCGAGCAGAATGTAGGATGCTGGCAATGTATACAATGTGATGTACATGTCTTAATGGTGTGCCCAATGTTTGAGCAGTTGGAACACTTGTAGCTGTTTTTGACCCTGGAATACCCAGCTGCCTCTAGGTATTGTATTCTATTTTTCTTCAGAAATAATTGTTTGAGTGCAGCAATTCCCCTGTGGTTGGTAGATCGAAAGTAATCCTTTGATGCCCTATCGTTGTACTTCTCCATACCTTGCTGAGTATAGTGGGCGATGTTTGTGTATAGATTAAGGAATTCTGGAACATGGGCATAAAGGGCATGCATGTAAGGGGTGACATCCTTAGTTTGGTATAACTCAAGAAAGTTACCTAACCAATCCCCAATTTTGCCTTTGAAATGCATAACTTCATCATTAGAATGAAAATCAAGCTTTAAATCACCAATAATATCTATGAAATCAGCCCATAGCTTTTGAATTTGGGCACTGTTTTCACAAGTAGGAAGAATCGTTGATATTTGTATATATTGAAACAATTTCAACTTCTCAGGACCAGTCAGGTCTCTGTACTCTAATTTCTTGCTTTCTTTCCCAATGTGCCACTGAAATGAAACTCCCAGGTTGTTAAGGAGCATTTCATAACCTGCCATATATTTATATTTATCTCTTGGAAATCCATCTGTAAATGTTACCTTTTTCTCAATGCTATCTAGTCTTCTTAATTGTCTGATCAGAAGTTCAATTAAATTGTCAGAAATTTGTAAGAACAGATGTAAAGTATCAATGATTACATGATCAAGAGGAATAAATGGGAACAAAGGATTATTTTTGCAATTGAACTGTTTTGATTTTGCACACTGACTTATTTGTGCTAGGTTTCGTGCCCCTAGACTAAGATCAGTCATAGACCATTGCTTATTTGTATCCCACCTCTGTAGCCTGGGGCACTTACACCATATGCAAGCATAGTCTTGGTTTGCAGCCCCCAGGCCGCAAACACAAGCCAGAAACTTCCAGTCTCCACCAAGGAAATACTCGATATTATATTTACAATTATTTACAGTAATTATCTTAAGCAATTCCATCTCATTCCTGAGATCAGAGAGACTCTCTTGTAAATTTTCATAGCTTTCAGTTGTTTTAATTATTGCCAAAATGTAATTCCCTTTTTCACCCATGGCTAAATCTTTCTCATTTAATATAGTGTAAGTAAAGTTCACTATTTTCAACCTCTTTCCTATTTGTGTTCCATCCCCACTGAGCTTTACCTTAATTGTGTTCTCTTTCAAGTCTAGTCTTGTTAACTGTTTTCGAAGGCTGTCTTCAAATTTCACTTGAACACCTTCTGCTTCACACGGAGTGCAACTCAAACTCCATGAAGTATTTAACTCGTTTATCCGTTTTGTTATCTGAGACAGTTTTGGCATATCTTTTGCCTTGACTGAAAACTCACGCCAGGCTTCATTGGAGATATTAAAGTTGTCTTTTAAATACATCCACATATTAAGGTCATCTAACTCTTTGTCTGTCATTTCCTTTTCTGTACTATCAATAAAAGGAAGTTCCCCTTCTTCAAGAAGACTAAAAGTCTCTAACTTACCAGTGTCCTCATTGAAGACATCTACCTTGGTGGCAACATAATTATATAAACCAAGGAATGACAGGGTTGTGTGACATTGTTCCTTCAACTGTTTTTTGACACGTGCCTGATGTTGTCGGGTGTACTGCCGAAAAGATTTTTTCTTTGCTGGGCCTCTTGACCTTTTTTCCAAGCACATGTCTGCAACCTTTTTCGCCAAACGTTTAAATCGTGTCTTGCTCTCTTCGTCTTTCTTCTGTGACTTTTCCAGGGCAGTTTTCAATTTCTCTTCAAGGCAAATCCGTTTAGCTGCTTGCTCAGTCACGCACTCCTCGAGTGCTCTTTTCTCACCTCTCAGCCGATCGCAATCACCCTTTAATTTCAAAACGTCAACTTCGTTGTAGAACACTTTTAATTTATAATTTGGTCCAAATTTCCACCCGTTAACTAATTTCTTCAGGGCTTTTCCGCCTGATTTGCTTGCCCGCTTGAACGCTGTATGGAGGATTGATATCTTTTTCTTAAAAACGTTCAAAATGCGTTTGTTTACTTCCACATTATGTGCTCCTGAATCTTCCAAAATTTTCTTCACGACAGATGCTATAGGAGAATCGTTACCTTCACCGTCATCACTCTTTTTCTCCTTCGATATGGTGTAAATGAGGAAACTAAAGGAAAAAAATGGAACATCGGTAAATCTATTTTAAATGCCGCTAACATAAAAAACATGTAACACAATCTTACTTTAGAATTGTTGACATTACGGGAAGAGTATTTCCTACTTCTAGAGCCGGTTACGGCGCTTGTATTCGATGTCATTTACTCCTTTTCCGAGCTCAACTACCTTTTCCGACGGTACCCTTTACAGTGTTAAAATTTAAAGTAATAATATTATTTTATATACTTACTTGTTTATTTCGTACGAGAACGAAGGAACAGAATCACCTGATGAACTGCTTCCCTGCTCTCCTGAATCGTTCCCAGCCGATTCACTTCTTTCAATGGAAATGAATAGCAGCAGTAAAAACAGATATTGGTAAAACTTGAAGGCCATCGGTCCGTGAGAAAAATTTTATCAATATTTATGAATCGCACACCAAAACGCGGGGAATTTATTACAGTTTTCAAATCTGGCGGTAACACGTCTATCCCGGCATGCAGTGAGAAGCTGTTCCTCAGTCTTCATTGGCAGGTCTGATTTTCGCGCTCAGATTTCTTAAAAATTGACTCGACTTAATAAAACAAACTTCCAAGGACCATGACTTAATTTATGTTTTTCGAACTAAAAAAGTGCAATTAAGATGCAATAAACATGTAAGTTTAATAAACCGTTGGTAACCAGTTGTGAAATTTTTCATGAAAATCACAGTAAGCACAAAACTACCAAATTTTCATTTTATTGTAAGAGAGCTTTTGATGGGCGTGGCCGTCGGAAATATGATAGAACCTTTTGTTAACAAGGAGTTTCATATGATTCTCGAACGTGATTGGCTATCACCAGCCCGATTTGAACACTAATAGGACAGTGTAAGCGTCATGCTTGTAATTGGACAGTTGAAGGGGCAGTTAACACCTCATGCCCGTGTAAGTGGACAGTACGCATCATGTGAGCGCTGTTGTCTCGCATTTCGCTGAGTTACCTGTCGTTGTTTTTTGTGTAAACGTATTACCGATGTCTAGTTTCTTTCTCAGCATTCAGGTGTTAATCACTCGTATGATTACAGATCGACCTGGAGTCCACTTGGTCTCATTACCATTTCAGCGTATAGTTTCATAGCTCATTCCAAGAGTTGCCTTCTTCCTCATTTAGTGGCATCTACCCTTCTTTACTATTCTTAACGAAAAGTGATGGTTAAGGTATTAAAAACGCTGTTTAGGCAAATGGCTGACACTTGCCTGAAGCTGTTTAGAATCTGCTTGTCAGCCATCCAGCAATTGTAGATATAAATGTTTCCTGCTAGCATGTCCCCCTTCCCACAAACCTACCTTCCCCAATCCCACCTAAGATCCATGTACATTCCTAAAACCTATTTCTGTTAATCTTGAAAGACATTATACTAATGTTTAGAGGACAAGCGACCGCGCCGTAATAACTTGTTAAAATGTCAGTGCTGTAAATCCTCTACACCCAAACATCAGTATGCATATTCTCCATACTGTTTTCAATGTATTACCTAAGATGCGGACAACGAGACTACGTATGACAATCAAGAACTTCTTTAGATGGTGATCATTTCCTTTATTCCTGTGACTTGACTGTGTGATTCAGGGGTGTTACTGAAATTAGATGCGAGTCACTTTGAGGGGTCAATGGGTTAACGCCTTCAATGCCATTTTCGCTTTAAAAAATTTTATCACCTTCGAGGGAAGCCGAAACTATCAAATTTGTTTACATTAAAATTAAATTAAACTTCAATTTTTTGCTCTCTCTATTTATGGAAGAAAGCACTTCATACATTGGGTGGGGGAAATAAATCGAAACTGAGAGTCGCGGCCTGCCTTGCTAGCGGTCTGCGGTTTTGGGGCGGAGAGAAAAAGGAAAAACATTTTCCCCTCCGCCCCCAAAACCGCAGACGCCAGCAACGCAGGCTAAACTGAGAGCACTAGGAGAGATTATGTAAAATCGCGCCTTAAAATATCAAAGTGAAATGATTTAGTATTTCCTTTGGTGTCTAAGGTAATTCCCTTGAAATTGTTTAGTGTGTAACCAAAGCATTGCTGGAAATATTGTATAACCATATCTGTCAGGCTTTTGTTTTGGGTCTTGATGCTGTATAGTGAGCAACCAAAGGATCTTTTAGCATGGACTACGTCTGACCATTTTTCAACCTCATGCTCAACATTTTTCCTCACTTTGCATATGGTGGATGAATCCTCATCCCCAACAAGAACAGATACAACTGCATTTTTTTCTCCACAACTGTTAAGCAGAGTAAAACCACAAAAATAAAATTTTGTGCCATAAAAAGTGAGGGCATTCAAATTACACCTAGGCATTATCTTAAGTATTTTCTTTTCTGCATTTTCAACATACTCATTTTCAAAAATGTAGGTGCATTTTTATGTTTGCTTTCTTGTTAAATTTTCAGTCATTATTACCAAGGGTGTAAGGTACTGTAAGACTTTCCACTGTTCATGGTTCAAGTGTCATTACTGTAACAATGATATCATAAGAACAGATTTCACAAGTCTCTCTTTGGAGCAATAAAACTGTGAATTTAACATGTTAACAACTATTATTATAATTATTGTTTTATTTTTTATTTTTGTTATTACATACCTGGTTAGTAATTACCTTTTGACTAGATCAACACAAATATCAGCTTCCATGACTTTTGACGAGCCTTCCCAGTTGAGCCTGCAGTCGTGTATATGAGGCTTTTTTGACTGTCTGCTGGCAGTTTCACATGTTGCACACCTTTACAAAAGACATTTTGGGTTAAGGTCCTGGGTAACACTTTCAAGAGGAGGCAAGTATGGGTACTGTCATATGTTGAATGATTCTGTACTTTTTGTGGTCAAATTGAAAAAAAAAACATTGCTCTTGATGTTTCCAACAAAGTACCAGTAGACAAAATATATGTATATACATTACCTTTTTGACCTTGAACCATAGCAAATCACCTTGCCAGTCTTTAGGCCAACCATGGAGCCAACACCTAGTAGTGAAAATAAGGATATATTTTATTTATTTATTATTTATTTAATTAATTTTGACTATTGGCCAACACCAAAACTGTCAGTAAGCTAAAGAACAATCCAGAGAAAAAATAATAGCAGCTTTCTATGAAATGCATATCCAAATGCACCCTTTTCAATTCTTTCACATGTAGAATTTGTAGTGTACCTGTCGGGCTGTTGTGGGCTTTTCCCCTTTTTCACCATCCCATGTCAAATGACGCTCCTATCGCCACATTTTCCTTTTCAATATTCTCTTTCCACAGGTTTCTTTCGCTTTCTAAACTTTCCAGACATGATTCCTTTGCCAACTTTTCAATTTGGGGCCTTACTTTCCTCTCGCGAGCCTTCAGCGTGGACTCCCCAAGTGATGGTACATTGATATAAATATGTCGATTCAACTTATTAAAAAATTGGCTAGATGTTAAATGGATGCTTTAATTGTGGAAAACAATATTTTTAGCAATATTAAATGTAAACAAACCTGCAGCGAGCTTCGTGTTTACATCAAAGATTGGTCTCCTTGCTCCGGTGCTACGGCGGGTCTTGTTTGTTCGACAGGTATTTGTCTCTCCACACTCGGAATTTGAACAGCATATGTAGAGTAGTGATCCTAGCCCAGACACTGTTTCTTTTATGCAGTCGGAGAGCCGTAGAACTGCCCCACAGGCTTCACAGCCCCTGTCCAAAGCCTCAGCGAGGACATTTAATTCTACAACTCGACGGCCGCGAAGTGGAAATCCACTGGAGACTTCCGGATCACGCACCTTTTTTTATTTCCTTGTTTTTCGAGAGCAGACCAGGAAGCTGTCAGCCGATTTGCAGCATTCTTATTACGAATAAAAGCTTTCGCTCTGCAAAAGCGGCCCTTGTCTGTTCTTTTCAAGCCAGCGGGAAGAACGGCCGCCATCTTGTATGTCGCAATTAATGTTATACGCAGTAAAGGTCGCGCAGTGCAAAACAAGGGAATCACCTTAAATGATAAATAGCTACATGGCTGCAGTGCAAAAAAAAATTATTGGTTTCAAATATTTTTCAACAATCGGGAATCACCTTAAATGATAAATAGCATACTACATGCTGCTTGGAGATACGAAAAATTGGAAAAACATTGGTTTCAGAATGAATTTGTATATATAAGCAATAGTGTCATTATGTTGATTGACAAACGGCCTAAAAACCGTCTGCAATTAATTTCAATCGTTCACAGAAAGCACCTTGAAAGTTAAAACGTGAGATATTTGGTTACAGTTAAACTGAACGATGGAACTTTCATTCGTTTAATATCTGAACTTTTTCAAACAATTTGTTCGTACTAAAAGAGCGAGCGAAGTTTTAATTTCAGTTCTAAAACAAATATACGCTCTCAGTGAGTCTTTCCAAGTCCGTTCAATTGGGACATTTGTACCGTAACTTGCGCAACAGAAACTGAAGGAATTTATAGAGAAAAGGCCGCATTTAATCCTCGCGTCTCGTTGGTGTGCCATTCGAATTTAGTTTTTGTGGAGGAAAGACCTGGTTTACACACGCCATTGCCGCAAACAAACGAGCAAACTGCCACAACTTCAAAATAAAAAGAAAATGAATTTACTCACAATTACTTTCCTTGCCGTTTACTTAATGAACAGAGGTAAATCTACGTACATTAATAGATCGTCGATGAGAGTGAATAATACTTTCCGTTAGATCATTGACTGTTTTTGAGGTAAACATTGTCGTGACAGTCCTTGCCAAACTAGTTCCGTTGTTTTTCAAGTCTTCTTATGCTGTTTTTCTTCTTACGCGCTCTCTAATTGACAGGTGTCAGATCGTGACAGATACTTGTAAAAATAATGATTCAAAGTTTGTTTGGAAGCCTTTTAAATCACCTCTCTTTAATTTGCATTACCTCTATTTTAACTACCAGTTACTCGCTCAAAAATTGTCAGTTTATGGAAGATCTTGCCGTATTTACAGCCCTTAATCATTCGGGTTCTTTCGGAAAGAATTTCGTCAAGTTTAAAAAAATAAATATCTTATTTACCGGCTAAGGGTCGGTCCGTATGGTGAAAAACTGTGACCTCGGTCACAGTTTTTCACTATACAGACCCCCCAGCCGGCAAATAACATATATATCTTATCATCGTTTGGCTAAAGAGACGAATATTCCATTCTTTGGTCTGGTTATAATTTCTCCGCATGTCTGGAGTTCATCAAAGGTCTGAGTGGAGTCGAGGGTAAAATTACGCAACACGTGAGCCAAGACAAGTTTCTCCTCTTGAAGAGCAAACCGCTGACCTATAAGGTAAGGACAAAAGACAGGTTAACGGACAAAATAAGATAGGGCAGTGAAAAAAAGAAAAACAAAACAAAACAAAAAAATGACTGAACGAGCAATATCTCTTTTTTTGAGCTTTTGCTGGGTCAATTCAAGTATCATAAACGGGTCCTACAAACAACTTCTCACATCTTAAGATTCTCAACGGCTCCAAGCAATACCAAGAAACTAGTAATCTAAAAAGTCACTTTAGAAGCAAAAAACACCGTAACGTTTCAAGGAATGACTGGATGATCATTTTTCCCTCTTCTCAAAACATGAGCTTGGAATACCTGCTACAACACGCTGCTTCAACAATAAAAACAACAACAAAAAGTCAAGGAGACAAATTGCGGCCGGAGTCAGCTCACTGCAAGGAATCACAGAACATTTTTGTGATAATTTGTGTCTCTGCGACAGAATTTTGTCATTGTGATTAGTCGCGCTTTTTTCAGCTTCCATGGTGTAACAAACGCTTTCACTCTTTCGTTTCTGCCTGCGTTGCTATCTAAATTTAGGCCCAGCTTAAAACTTCGCATGTATAAAACCTGACAAAACCTACCGATACAGTTCCGTGGCCCAGCAGAGAAAGGAACAAATGCATATGGATGGCGTCCTTGGCTGTTCTCAGGAAGAAAACGATCCGGGTTAAACTCGAGCGGCGCTTCCCACACCTTTGGGTTTCTGTGGAGTCCGATTGTACAAACTCCAATAGCAGTACCTTTTGGAGCCAGGTAGCCATCTGCAAGGCAAGTGGGCGTGTTTTACTTTACGTTTTTCAAACAGATTTAAGCCTCCCTGAGAACTTTACAAAATAAGGATAGCACAAACACCATTGTCACGTCATCATTAAGAACACATCTATGATAACGGTATTCGTTGCTGTTTTCCAACAACAACATAAAGAAATAAAGCCAAATGATCTTGTTACACTCCCCCACCGACGCAGTACCAGTTTCTCTAGAAACTTACCCACGTTATTCTCCAAATATAACAACCGACCATCAAATAAACAAAAAAACAAAACGATAGCAACACAAATTACCAGATATCGAAACACTGAAAAAAACAAACCTACACCAATAAAACAAACGAACAAAAGACAGAAAAAAAGAAACATACCAAAACAAAACGAAAACAAGACAGGGCACAAAAACAGAAACAAAGGCAAACGAACAAGAAACCGAATAAATATACGTTCACAGCTTATTATCTCAGGAATGCGCTGCTAACTCCTAACCAACCCTCCCAAGGACGTAAATACATACCCAGGTGACAGTCTTCAGTCGTCCTCCTTGCAATGAAGGGCACAGATGGGAACATGCGCTGGGCCTCCTAAGCCAGAGAGTGTAGTATTTAGATGCACTCAGTTTGTAAATTACCACATTAAGAAGAGTAGATCAACATGTAGCAGTTAGGTAGCGAACGCTATCTACTTACAAAGTTAAATTATAGAATAAAAACTGCTCATAGATGGCGGGTGTAGTTGCCATTCTATCACATTCATGTAAAAAAAAGTCTTTATAGCCTTGAAAACTTGTTTAACCCAAACTGAGCCGAACCTCAGATAACCACTTTACCACTTCCCTACGATACGTTCTCCGTCCCTACCCCTATATGAATGGTGTTAAAATCCGAGCCACAAAAATGTAACGTTGTTGTACCATACCTTAACAACACATTCCAAGTAACGCAAATCCTTCAGATCCTCTCCCGTGAGGGTTTCTGGCCGCTGTTCTAAAATGTTTAAATATCATAGTAGTCATTATCTAATCGTAGAGTTTGAATCAATCACGAATAAGTAAACAAAACAGCGTTCATTCGGACGCCAGTATTAACAAAGTCGCGTATGGTCACAGTGCATTGGGAAGAAAAATCAAGATGGAGCATGAACAAAATTTTCTCCATTGCATGGATATCATAACTTAATTTGCACTTTGTTGTTCTTGTAAACAACACGAAAACAAAGAAAGGAGTCTGTGCAAAGTGCCCTTGAACACCGTAGGCGAGACACTCACCGAAAAATTTATCTACTTCTTCGTGGACTTGCTGCTGTATATGAGGATGGCGGGCGAGTAGGTAGAGAGCCCACGTTAGTCCAGCGGCTGTGGTGTCGTGGCCCTACAAATAACAAAGATAATTTCATATAGCTCCAGGATTGGGTTACCAGAGTATCACTCTAACCTGTTTCCCAGAAACGCCCGAATTGTTATGAAATTCCCTGACTTAGAGTTTGCCAGTAATAATTTTTTCAGGCTAAAACACATTGTAACCACAAAAAATAGCTCTTGTCACAAAATAATCCTGATAAGACTTAGACTGGAAACTTGAGATTTGAATTACCACCAGCTGACTGATATACAACCGCGTTGGTCAACTTGAAAAACCAAAAGCACGCCGTATTCAAGTCTCAGAACGATCTGAGTTGGAGACAGGACAAGGGATGGATAATCACCTTAAACTACACCATCACTGACATTAACTCTCATTCGCTGAGAGTGTAAATGGGAACAGGAAAAATTTCAAGACAAACTGACAAACTGCCTGGGGCAGCAGATGGGTTCATTGCAAGTTAATTGATTGGTTCAGCAAATGTGTTACTTGATGATTCCTTAATACTGCACCGAGCATCCTTTACTACGCAAAACATCACGTAATTAGGCATAATTGGCAACATTGACATGGCGTCTTTTCTTGCTGGCAAGCTCACTGGACATAAAAAGGCGCGTAGGTCGATCATCCACGCCGAAACTAGATGCTCACAAAACACTTTAGAAAAGTTGTGGATAAATTATAATTCTTTAGAACATATACCCAATCAATGTACGAAGGAAACAGTTACGATGCTCGTTTGCACTTGAATGAGCAAAATGACCTATCTTTGTTACTGTAGTTCTCGAAACAGACATAAGTAGGGAACATTCAAAGAGAGTTTCAGAAACATCGTTCCAAAACCTTTATTTCTGAGGAATCACCTTAGGAGGAGTGTTTAGCCACAACTGGGTGGACGTACAGCGGACAAAGAGTATTCAAGTATGGACTTTGACAAGGAACCAACTTCCACTGGAAACTGCTTTTAAAGCGACACTAACCTCAAACATGAACGTATCCACTTCTTCTCTGATGCCCTCTCGTGATATCTCTCCTTTGTCATAGGCCTCCAGTAGCAAATCGAGGAAAGCTAAACGCCTCTTCCTTTTAAATTCACCTTCTTCTCCCTGCTCAGTGTCATTTTCTTCGGATTGTGGGTCATTTTTTTTGGCTGCTCTGTCGGCGATTCGCTCGTCGATGATCTGGTGGTTTTGCGTCATAACCACAGAGACACCACAGTTAAATCGGTAGAATTGAAGACGCTTTAAAAAGCTTCACTAACTGTCCTTTTGTTACGAAAACTTTCGTGGCCTGATTGTGAAATTTCTTTATTTTCTTTCAGTTGTTGTTTGACTTTGTTTTCAACTTCTCATTTACTGTTTTCGTTGTTTATGTTTTGTTTTGTTTGGTTTTCCCTTACGAATCAGATAAGTAGCAGTTAGAGGACTATGTCCATCTTGAAAAACAAAACTATGTTAACATAATTAACTAAATCTTTCAGCATAGGAGAAAATTTTACGCATTGGAACTCGCACCTCGTTGGTAAAACCATGAAGAATCTTAAGACAATGATTATGTTCCCTCCCTGATGGCGTCAAAAAGTAAACAATGTCAGGCCAGAGCCATGGAGACCTCTGTCGCTTCTGAATCAACTCAGTTATCCTAGAATTAGTTCATCGGTTTAATATCAAACATCAACGTTAGCCTTCTGTTTATCTACAGTGGAGGCTACGAAGTTAGATCTCCCATGCTTTACCCTAACATTGTGGAAAAAAAATAGCGATTTAAGATTAAAAGGAAAGGCAACATGAAACAATGTTTACAGTGCAAAGAAATTCTCTACAAGTTTGACTATGACAGAGCATCTACGCAAAAAGAAATTGAGCATCCTTTTTTGGACTGCCAGGGTTTGAACATAAAATCTAAGGAAATAAATATTTCTCAAAAGCGAAATTTGGCAATGTAGATAATTTGAGGAGGACATTCCTCGGGACACCAGTATTTCATGCGGTGAAACTTTTGTGGGAAAAGTTTTCAAGGTATTATAGTATAACAATTTTCCATAACAATTGCCCTTGACAATTAAAACTCATTGAAACTAAATTCGTCTTCATTTGAGTTAGAAACAGTTACCTTCCAACTGCCTCGACATATGGAGAACTAGTATCTCCCTGTGCATTTGGTGAGGAGTCCATGGAGGTAACTGTTAAAAGCGAAGTAAGACAGGATTTCAAATCATCATGTGAGTGCTTGAAAACAAATCTTGACCAGAGTCAGGTTGAAAGCAATGGACAAATTACAGGTCCACAGAGATACGTACATGTACATGTACTATGTATATGTCATATGTATTGAGGCGAAAAAAATTCGAAAACGAAAACACAGCGACTAAACATATTGTTTTTTTGTCCGAACTCTGCGACTACTGAACGACAACTAACTGACACGACCGACTCGAATATTAATTTTTATGTTAAGACTTAAATTCTAGCATGCAGTGTTTTGTTCGGCCGTCCCAACGGACGGTGTTAATGTTAATTACCAAGCGTTCGCCGGAACAATTGACTTTTGACTTATTGCGACTTGTGACTTATTGTGAGATGTGGTTCATTGTGGCTTGTGTCATATGTAAATTTTGACACCCTAACTTTGCTACAAGATAGCCCATGTCCAGATTCTCTCAACCTTTAACCCTTAAAAGTGAAAAGAATCTTGTTCCTTGTAACAATATCACTGCTGACTCAAGCATCAAAGCCATGGAAATATAGTAATGAATGCGATCAGAGTAAGCTCTGATGGTCAACCAAATTCTCCTTGTCAGTGACATGGGAGCTGTTAAGAGAACAGTATGGAAAATATGCATACTGATGCTAAAGTGTAAAGGGTGAAGTTTATTAATAGGACATGAAACTGGTGCAATTCACATTGAATTTGTACCAAAATTGATTTAGTAGATACATTTTTAGAACATTTTTCAATTGAGTCTTAAAAATATCTTGAATTGCATTGGTTTCACTTTTCTTTACTATGTTATTGGTCCAGGGAACTTCCCCATCCTGTCTCTCCACAAATCAGATGCAAAACTTAAACCAGTCACAATTTGTTCACCCATGTTTTCCAGTGCTTAGGGCAACTGCCTTTTCATCCTTTGAATTTTTATTGGCTCTATGGAGTGTTTTAGTTTCTTCTGATTAGCTGCTGTGATCACATTATGTTGGTTTTGCTTTATTATGATACTTAATCAAAAAGAGCTCTATTAAGATTGAAGTTCCATGATATATATTTGTAGAGATGTAAAATAATAGCAACAAGCATCTCTGAGCAATACTGAGTACAGACAAGGCTAGGGGTTTAACCCTTGCAAAATAGATTTTGGAATTCCTAGGAATAAATGGTGTGAATTTTCACGGTAAATTGGACTGGGAATTCCCAACCATAACAACTCTGGTTTTAAAAACCTAGAAATTCCTAGAAATTCCCAGAAATTTCAAGTTTATAGCCAACAGGACTTGGAATTCCGCGGAATTCCAACTCAGAGCACCAATGAATTTCCCTGAAAAGCTGTAAATCTAAAAAATTCCTGGGAATTTCCAGGAATTTCCAGGAATTTCTGGGAATGTTTAAGAATTACAGGGAATTTTAAGCAATAGTTTGAAGCTACTTATATAAAATAAATACCAACATTAAAAAATCCCAGCTAAAATGCAAGTATTCAATGAAATTTATTTACAAGCTTAATTAAGGTTTACGTGTAAAATATTTATGATAAATTATTAACATCAACATGTCGTAATATTAGGATAAAATTTGATTTTTCTTTTCTTGAAAACTTCATACGGATCAATCCTCAATTACAGCTATTCATATAAAATAGTCCTAATCAAGCATTAAATTTGGTTCGACACAAATTGTGAATAAAATCTGTTGATTCTTTTCCATAAAATACAATATCTTAAATTATATTTGAAAACCGAGCACTCTTGGGAGTGAAGGGTTTAATTATAATAAAATAGAATTGATTTTTTAATTAAAATCTTGTTGTAACTGTAACAATAAATTAGAATGAAGTTATCCTAAATTGCAAACTAAGCTGCTGTTTGTCTTTTTTTCCCTGGGCTCACAATGAGTTGGCCTTGAATGAGGCTTGACCATTTTGTATCTGGATTCCATGACATCCAGGCGGTGTGCGCACTCCCATTACGTTGCATTGTGGTAGCTTCATTTTCAATATGGCGGTGAAAGCAGCAGAATTCAGCAGATTTTGACTGAACATTCCGTAAAAGCGAGGCCGTTCCTTTTTCCTTTCACCATGGGTAAATGTAATTTGACTTATTCTGAATGTATAAAAGTATTTTTTGTTCGTATTTGTCGCGTATTCTATGGTTCTCAAGGACAAACGCGATCACTGCTTTTTTGTATGTAATTTGAGACCGGATATATTTCAAGATATTTCAAGATATTTCAAAATATTTCAAGAAGGTCAAATTTGTTGTTCGTCGTAGTTTGGAGCCTTTCAAAGATTTGGATGGCTGCTTTGATCCTTCTTTAACAGCTTTGACCGAACGCTCTCAAACGCTCTCCAACGGTACATGTGTTTCTCGCATTTTAAGTGCGGGTGTTTGAGACCGATTATGGCCGAGAAAAGGCTTATTGTTGCGTTACACAGCTTTACTATTATATACTCAATTGTGTTGTAAATCTACTTTCCAAAGTAAAAGGAAATTAACTTATCGCGAGTGTTTTATGGTAAATCTACTATCTTGATCATTGAATGAAGGACAGTTGAATTTGAGCCATGAACGGAATCACTTGACTAATGAATAACTCTACAATGCGCTCGGCGACACACCGGGTAAGCCGGAAAGCAAGAGGTAGTCGATTGTGTTGATTGCTTGTGCGACTCCTGCCATTCGCTTGCGCTTTTAAATCTTCTAACCTGAGAGCTTAGCTGCTATTAGGATATCCTTTAATGACTTCCGTTTACGATGTGATATTAAGGGTTAGTTTTAAGGTGTCATTTCCCCTTCTGTATGTTCTTGAGGTTTGGCAAAGCCGGATGAGATCGTGTTACAAAAGGTAATATTTTCATGTGTGCGCGCTATCCTTTTTTTTTTAAGTATCAGTCTCTCCCGCAGAATATAACTCCAGAGATACGTTTTTCAAAACCTTATTCTAGGTATTCTCTATTCTTTAAGCATATTTGAAACTCTGTACGTTTTTATTAAACGTTGAGCGTGACGAATTTGGTCTTAGGAGGTGTAAGGCTTCTCCTTTCGCGAATCCCGTATAGTTCGTATATTAGAGGGTCGCTGCCTCTTTGAAATGCGTTTGCATGTCAAGGGACGATTCCCCGTTAAATAACTCGCGGATCTGATATTACTTACACAGCCATTGGCTGTGTGTGAAACTGCTGCCAAATGAATAGTGGACCGTTGGATAATTGACACAAAACGCCGGGAAACCATCAATCGTATAATCAACAATTATATTTGAAGGAATTATTCGATCTGAAACATACAATTAAGCAATGTAATTATGAAACATTCGGGTATTTACAACACCGATTATAAAAGTGGATAATAAACCGACAGTACAAGCTAAACTAATTGAAACTTACTTCTGTCTCTGGTTTCCCGTTAAATTGATCATTCGGTGTAACTTCTATAAAACTGGTTAGCAAACACGTGTAAGAACTTAACTGAACTGAAACCTAATGAACTTGATATATGAAACGATGAAAAGTGTCAAATGCATTGTTTGTGATCATTGTAAATCATTAATAATATTTTGTCACCGTAACAAATAGATTCTCAAGCAAGACTGCAGTTTCGATTCTTTCTGAATCTGAATTGCCTCCTAACAACGAATTTGTCACGGAGGAATAACAGGAGTCGCACAGGCCCGCAAACACTTTTAACTTTCGAAGGAACGGCAACAGACAGTGAATTTCCATTAAATTCCACGTTTATTCACGCTACCAGAGATGTTCACTGGACCACGACAGGATGCAAATGACTTATTTTTCGTTTAATGACCATGATGCAACGCAATCAGAGTGCATGACATCTGAATTTGAAAAAAAAAATATATATATATATATCAAAAGCTCAGACCAGGCCTTAGATAGCTATAAGGAAAAGGGCATTCATTGGATTCTCAAATTGGGAAATCTCTGTTATACTGAATGACTTTTATATTGGAGTTAGTACATCTCTCCCATAGATTTTACAAAAAAAGGGCTGAATACATTATTTTGTTTTTACCAAGGAGGGCTTTTTTTATGTAATAAGATTTGTTTAATAACAGTTTGTATTATGAATCTTATATGTTCCCAAACGTGACTAAAGTAATCTTGAAACCTTACTGATAGATTTATTTTATTGTAAAGCACAAGCCGAAGAAACTGCGGATGCAAGTGACCGATTCGATTCTCAGAGTTATTCTAGTTTCAGTTGTGCCGAGCGTTATGTAAGCTTAATTCAAGCCGTTACATCTATTCTTGATAAGATTTTGATCACCTAACGAATATCGCAATTTTTACTCACCACAAACTTTCAAAATCGTAGCTTTATAAATGGCCACTCGACCCTTGTTTGTATCAGTCGATATGTCAACTGTTGTCCCTTCTTTTAACTCCACGGCGCCAACGACTTTCTTTTCTTTTACAACACTCACGCTGTTCTCGTTTTCCCATTGAACCACAATAAAACCTATCTTTAGAAATGTTATATTAAGCAAAACAGTTGAGAAACGAAATAACTTAACACACGAGCGATCAACCGATAAAAAGTACATTCAAAGATGAGCGCCAAATGGAGTCTACTATGGTGGCCGAGGGCTGCCATTCAAAATTTTACAATTTTTCAAAGATTTAATAGAAAATAAAAGAAAAAATAAATCAAAACTGAAAGTAAAATGGAACGTGACTGCAAAACAAAGGAAAAAGAACGATTGAAAGTAAAATGAAGTAGCAAGCAAATTTAAAAGCAAAAGTAATTGCATTATCAAAGTAAAAATCATTTCAAAATTAAACTGAAATCCAAGGGCAATTCACCGAGAAATAAAATTAAATTGAAAATCAGATCAAAACAAAAGTCAAAGTGAATATTGCTGTGGCCGAGGGCTGCCACTACCATGATACTGTGCGGGCGTGATTGTATGTCTTATCATGCATTATATAATAAGCTCAGTTATGCACGCATT